ACTTGGGTTCCAACACTATGCAGCATACTGCAAGAGACACAGACATACTATGTAAATCCGGTATTGAACATAGAGTATTGCATTGGTGTTATTGTGTACCAGGATGATGCCAGTACAAGTTAAACTGAGGAGTCATACTCTCACTGCAGAGGGGATGAATGACCTACGGTGATGTTCTGTTTTACATCTGGGATGTCTCAGTCTGCCTCTGAAGGAGCTGTCCATGGTCTCATCAGTGGAATGCAGTGGGTGGGAGGGGTTTACTAAGATGGTGGTCATCTTCTCAGCATCTTCTTTTCACACATCTCCTCAACTGTATGCAGTGGGCAGCTCAGAACCAAGCTAGCTTTGTGAACTAGCTTGTTCAGTCTCTTCCTCACCCTGGATTCTCATGTCAGTTCTCTTGTTCGCTCTTCCTTCTTCCATCTCTGGAACATTGCAAAGCCGAGTCCCATTTTGTCCCGCTCTGAACTTGAGACAGTTCTCCACACCTTCATCTCCTCACGCTTAGACTACTGTAACTCTCTTTTCACGTGTCTGAGCAGAACCTCCCTGAACCGTCTACAGGTGGTTCAGAATGCCTGTGCTCGGCTTCTGACCAAGTCCTCCAAACACACCCACGTCACCCCGCTTCTCCTCCAGCTTCACTGGCTGCCAGTCAACTTCAGGGTTCATTTCAAGATCCTGGTTCTGGTCTATAGGGCCTTACATGGACAAGCACCATCTTACAGTGGTGATCTTCTTAGTCCCTACACCCCCAGCAGGTCCCTGAGGTCCAGTGATCAAAGCCTACTGGTTGTGCAGCACCATGTAGACCAAAGGACCTGGATCATTTGCTACAGTGGCCCCCAGACTCTGGACCTCTCTCCCCCTGAGCCTGAGATCAGTGGACTCAGTGGACTCCTTTAAAAAACAGCTGAAAACTCACCTGCTCAGGCTTTGGCGTGACCTTCATCACTACCCTCTCCTTATTCTGCTCTTATTCCGCCTTTCCCGGGATCCACTGATTTCCCTCTTTCCTATTCATTCTCTCTCTCCCTTTCCTTACATTTTTTTATTTCACAATTTTTATTTTCTCTCATTTTAAACATATTTAATCAATGTTTTAATACCTTTTTTTTGTGAAGTGCCTCGTGATTTTTATCTTGAAAGGTGCTAAATAAAAAATATTTTTCTTTCTTCCTGTCTTGGTCAGAGCTGCCTACACCCCGATAGACCACAGCAGAGTGGATAACAGAGCCAACAACAGAGTGGTAAAAGGATTTTAGCAGCTGGTAATAGTGGGAATAGGGAGCGTAAGTCACGCCCATCTTCTTTCGCACCATGGGTCCACAGAAGAATGAAAAAAATCAACGCAAGACAATGGGACTAAAAACGCTATTTTCTAATTCTGCTTGTTTTGTGCCAAGGATTTCACATATGAGGTCCGTGAATTTTAAAGACAAATTTTGATACCAAGAACGTGCTTTTTTTTTGCACTGTGGACAATGTTATTTTAGGTTTTGTGTGAAAATAAGTCAGGACTACAAATGTGTTTCACGAAAGTGACGTCATCGAACCAGACATGGAGAAAAGCAGAGGGAAAATGGCTGTGAGTTCAGCAAACTTCTAATCCTTCCTTCAGGAGGTAAGAACCACCATAAATGTGACCATGTGGTAAGTAGCAGCTAAACTAGGGGATAAGATATTCTGTGGTGATGTCACATATGCGACGTGCCAATGTCTAATGTGTAGTCATGCTAATTGCAAACTTTTACAAGCTGATAAATCTCAAAGTGCGTGACTACCATGGTCGAAACACCCATCATTACTTATCATTTAAATTGCAGTACAACATATGTGTGATCCAGGGCGTGAGACAAGGCGGATTAGAAAAAGCGTTTTTAGCCCCGTTGACTTGTATTCATTTTTTCGTTCTTCTGGGGACCCGTGAGCCGACCGGAAAAGGAGGAAACGTAGGCTCCCTATGCCTCAGAAGGACCTCGGCCTCCTCAGGAGGTGGAGGCAACTTTGGCCCTTCTTACTCAGAGCATCTGTGCTGATGGACCAGTTCAGTTTGCTGTTGAGGTGAACACTCGGGTACTTAAAGGTATCCACCACCTCAATGTCTGCTCCCTGGATGTTTACTGGTGAGTGAGGAGGAGTGTTACTCTGGAAGTCAATCACCATTTCCTTTGTCTTACTAGTGTTCAAGCGAAGATGGTTACGCTCACACCAGTCCACCAAGTCCATGATAACTGACTTGTCCTCCAGGTCATTCCCCTCAGACACACAACCGACAATGGTAGAGTCATCAGAGAATTTCTGGAGGTGACAGCTGCTGCTGTTGTAGGTGAAGTCCGAGATATAGAAGGTGAAGAGAAAGGGAGAGGGCACTGTACCTTGTCGAGCGCCAGTATTTCACACAGCCACTTCGGATGTACAGTTGTGCAGCCTCACATACTGTGGCCTGTTGGTGAGGTAGATGATGGTCCATGCAGTCAGATGTTCGTCCACTCCTGCACCCCTCATCTTCATCTGCAGTAGACACGGCTGGATGGTACTGAAGCCACTTGAAAAGTCAAAGAACATGACTCTCACAGTGTTTTTTTTTTTTTTTTTTTTTGCATCTTGAGGTGAGTCAGCGCCCGGTGCTGCAGGTAGATGAGCGCGTCCTCCACCCCCATGTTTGGTTTATATGCAAATTGCAGTGGGTCTATTTCCAGGCTCACCACTGAACGTAGATGGGTGAGGATGAGTCTCTTCATAGTCTTCATCAAATGGGAGGTCAAGGCGACTGGTCTGTAGTGGTTGGGTGTCCTGGGATGTAATGTTTTAGGAACTGGAACCCAGTAGCGGTTTTAGGCACGGGCAGACAGGGCAGTTGCCCGGGGCGGCATTTTTTCATGACACAAAAGGGGCGCACAAGCGCGGAGTAAAAAAAAAAAAAAAAAAAAGGAAATCTGCGCCGCGCCGAGGTTTTCTATTATCTGTCATATGACAGTGTCTGGATTGGAAACAGCAAGTTGGCGCCCCCTGCAGCTGCAGGCGCTCCTGCTGACTGAGAACGTTCACGTGCACCGTGTGTCTATGAAGAACAGGAAGGGGAGGGGTGCGGCGGGGGAATTCACCTCTGCGTCTTTCCCAAATGAAATGAGCGTGCAGGGGCTGAATCAACTGTATTAACATGGCTAAAGTCAATCACATCTTAACAGTAGCGGTTTTAGGCACGGGCAGACAGGGCAGTTGCCCGGGGCGGCATTTTTTCATGACACAAAAGGGGCGCACAAGCGCGGAGTAAAAAAAAAAAAAAAAAAAAGGAAATCTGCGCCGCGCCGAGGTTTTCTATTATCTGTCATATGACAGTGTCTGGATTGGAAACAGCAAGTTGGCGCCCCCTGCAGCTGCAGGCGCTCCTGCTGACTGAGAACGTTCACGTGCACCGTGTGTCTATGAAGAACAGGAAGGGGAGGGGTGCGGCGGGGGAATTCACCTCTGCGTCTTTCCCAAATGAAATGAGCGTGCAGGGGCTGAATCAACTGTATTAACATGGCTAAAGTCAATCACATCTTAACGTTCTTCCATATTTCATTCATAATATCATAAACACAGGCCTATCATTCTTTCAGGTTTCTCTGAATTGTGTGAAATGGCCGAATAAAAAAAGGAAAAACAAAAACGATTTTGTGGTCACCCCCCCATCAAGGTCAAATTGTTTAGTCCTGACTAAAGGAAACTTACTTAGTCAAGAGCCAAACAGAAGAGATGAACATAAAAAGGCTAAAACCACCAGGTGCCCCATTCAGGGGGAAAAAAAGAGGAGAAAAATAAAGGTATGTCCGCTCTCATGATGCATGTTTTCAATGTTTTGAACCAGTTAACGGTTAAATGCGGTCACTTAATTGCTAACAGAGCTAATAGGGCTGAAATATTGAAACGAATATTGAAATGGTTCGAAAAAGTCCTTGAATCGTTTTTTACTGATTCAAACTAGGATTTGTTAAATGCTCACTGCAGCCTGTGGCCTGCCTGAACAACAACTAACACATGTTGATCATGTTCACATAATAATAAATAAAACAACTCTACAAGCAGAAGAAAACTCCCCAATCACCACTAACTATCCTGTTTATTTATTGCAGATGGCTGCACTGATTATTTTTTACATGATTTGTTCTGTAAAAGTTGGCATTTTTGGTAGTCTACAGTTTTATTTATGTCAGTTTAAATTACAATTTCAGAGGCAATTCTAAAATATTATGGAACATGATAAAGATCTATTGGAGATCTACCCCAACTTTTGGACTGCTCTGCCAGTCACTGTGGCTCAAGCTGAGAGGAGCTTTTCAAACTTGATCGTCATACCTGAGGTCAACTATGTTTCAGGGGCGGCTCACTAACCTGGCTCTGATCAGTATCAATCACTCAGTAGGGGAGCAGATTTCATGTGATGACATTATTGATGACGTTGCATCAAGGAAAGGTTTTAATTTTAGTTTCTGTTTTCTGTTCTAAGTGCAGTGCTGTAGTGATTATCTTTAGTTTGTTATGTGTGAAATATTTTTGCTATTTAGAATATTTATTATCTATTATATATGTTCATATATTCTTAATATTTAGTTATTGTTTGTTTTTGTATATTTGATTCTATATATTTTGATACAGTATATAATGTATAGTGCTTTACATTCTGACAACTTCATAGTAATTAATGTAAATATGTGCAACTTAGAAAAATGAATGTTCAATAGTCGTTCTAATAAAACATGCCTGTTTGTAGAAAACATGCGTGTGTTCATGCAGGTGGGGTGGTGTGGTGGTGGTGGTGGGGGGGGGGGGCGGTTGGGGGGGGGGCGCTCAAAGGGGGCCTCGCCCGGGGAGTAATTCGATGTAGAACCGCCACTGCATCTTAACGTTCTTCCATATTTCATTCATAATATCATAAACACAGGCCTATCATTCTTTCAGGTTTCTCTGAATTGTGTGAAATGGCCGAATAAAAAAAGGAAAAACAAAAACGATTTTGTGGTCACCCCCCCATCAAGGTCAAATTGTTTAGTCCTGACTAAAGGAAACTTACTTAGTCAAGAGCCAAACAGAAGAGATGAACATAAAAAGGCTAAAACCACCAGGTGCCCCATTCAGGGGGAAAAAAAGAGGAGAAAAATAAAGGTATGTCCGCTCTCATGATGCATGTTTTCAATGTTTTGAACCAGTTAACGGTTAAATGCGGTCACTTAATTGCTAACAGAGCTAATAGGGCTGAAATATTGAAACGAATATTGAAATGGTTCGAAAAAGTCCTTGAATCGTTTTTTACTGATTCAAACTAGGATTTGTTAAATGCTCACTGCAGCCTGTGGCCTGCCTGAACAACAACTAACACATGTTGATCATGTTCACATAATAATAAATAAAACAACTCTACAAGCAGAAGAAAACTCCCCAATCACCACTAACTATCCTGTTTATTTATTGCAGATGGCTGCACTGATTATTTTTTACATGATTTGTTCTGTAAAAGTTGGCATTTTTGGTAGTCTACAGTTTTATTTATGTCAGTTTAAATTACAATTTCAGAGGCAATTCTAAAATATTATGGAACATGATAAAGATCTATTGGAGATCTACCCCAACTTTTGGACTGCTCTGCCAGTCACTGTGGCTCAAGCTGAGAGGAGCTTTTCAAACTTGATCGTCATACCTGAGGTCAACTATGTTTCAGGGGCGGCTCACTAACCTGGCTCTGATCAGTATCAATCACTCAGTAGGGGAGCAGATTTCATGTGATGACATTATTGATGACGTTGCATCAAGGAAAGGTTTTAATTTTAGTTTCTGTTTTCTGTTCTAAGTGCAGTGCTGTAGTGATTATCTTTAGTTTGTTATGTGTGAAATATTTTTGCTATTTAGAATATTTATTATCTATTATATATGTTCATATATTCTTAATATTTAGTTATTGTTTGTTTTTGTATATTTGATTCTATATATTTTGATACAGTATATAATGTATAGTGCTTTACATTCTGACAACTTCATAGTAATTAATGTAAATATGTGCAACTTAGAAAAATGAATGTTCAATAGTCGTTCTAATAAAACATGCCTGTTTGTAGAAAACATGCGTGTGTTCATGCAGGTGGGGTGGTGTGGTGGTGGTGGTGGGGGGGGGGGGCGGTTGGGGGGGGGGGCGCTCAAAGGGGGCCTCGCCCGGGGAGTAATTCGATGTAGAACCGCCACTGCTGGAACCACACAAAGTCTTCCACAGGATGGGGACCTGCTCCAGCTGAAGGTTCAGGTTAAACATGTATGTGACCACTTCACAAAGCTGGTCATCACAGTCTTTGAGCAGTTTGGGGCTGATCCTGTCAAGATCTGCTGCTTTTCTGTTCTGAAGCCCCCTCAGTTCTCTCCTGACCTGGTCCGATGTAACTGAGAGGGTGGAGTGAGGGAGAGTGTGGTGCTGATGGGGGTTGGTGGAGGGGGGAGAGGCTGATGTATGGTGCGAAATTTGGAGGTGGGAGGTGGTTGGCTGGCTCAGTGGAGGCATTTGGGAGATGGTGGAGTTGGTGGTACCTGTTGCAGCTGTGGGCTGGGTGGAGTAGAATCATTAGCCCAGTTCTGGTCCCCTTCAGTTGACTCACTGGAACCAATCCTCCCACTGTGACCTGTGATGTTTCTGAGGAGCAAAAGTAGTACACAAACCATAGTGTCCTGGTTTCAAGGCAATCATAACAAAAATGAATATGGCAAAAGACCATAAGCCAGTCACAGAAACCCGAAGAGGAGCAAAAATGTGGTTTACTTCCTGTGGAATGGAAATAAGATTTAGTTTTGGTCTCACAAAGGGTTGACAAGATGGTTTTGCATTAGATTAATGTTTGTGATGTTTCTTAGTCTGTACTTACATAAACCAAACATCTTATCAAACGAGGGAAATCGGGAAGAGAACAGGACAGAACAAAACTATTGAATTCTTGTCAGAACTGATTAGAGAAATGGGTGCAAATAAATATATTTCTAAGGTCACAAACTGAGCAACGGACTGTCTTCTGAGGGAAGAGTTAGTCGGATAGAACCGATGAATAATTTAGCTTTTTAATGGTCTGAATGTGTGCAGTAGAGGAACTTCTGTAACATGGTGGTCTACAGGGACAGGACAGGATATCACTGGTTTAGATGGAGTGTGTGGACAGTCCCTCATCATCTTCAGAACATGGTGCTCTGATTGTCTCTGGTTCAAGAAAGGCAGAACCACAGATCACTGAAGCTCTCTGAGATCCAAGAATGGGTTCAGATCAGTTTCTGGTGACATCCTTGTGTCATCTATGGTGATTTAGGACAGATATGTTCTTACTAACCTGTTGCTCTCCTTGTGTTGGGATTTGTAGTTCCTTCTCTCTCACTACAAGTCTCCTGATTCACCAACAAGAGTCTGTTCACAGCCAGCGCCTCTTCTAGTACCACTGATGTATCATTTATAAACAACGAGGTCAGAAGTTCATCCTGTAATTGGAGAGTTGTTGGTTCGAACCCAGGCTCCATCCATGTCAACCATTGTGTCCGGGAACACTTCACCCTCTTTGCCAGCTGGTGGCGCCGGTGTACGACTGCCTCATCTTTGTCAGTGTGTCCCAGGGCAGCTGTGGCTAATGTAGCTCATCACCAACAGTGTGTGAATGGATGAAGTATTCACTGCTGTATAAAATGTTTCAGTCCTTTGGCTTGATAAAGCGTGATACGAGCTCATGCGTTTGTCATCGACACTGGTTCTATGAATAGAAGGAGAGGAAGATCAGTGACTCAGCCCAGACCCAACACCATGACACTGAGTGTGCCTGAAAGAGAGCGGAATGGTCTTTTTCTTCTGTTTTGACCTCATGTGACCCACTGTGGGACGGAAACAACAAAAACAGGATCAGCTGCTGTGGGTCAGTCTCATGCTAGCATTTCTAGTCTTTGGGGAGCTCTTTAGATAGTTACAGAACATCCTCAACTGGGAATTAGGAAAAATAAGCAAAACAATCTGTGTTTTAGGTTGCTGAGGAACTCCACCACACAGAGAGAAGTGGTGTCCCTGCTGAGCTGAGATGACTAGAGTTAGTTTATGTCCCATCTGGCCTATTTATAGTGCTGGCCCTTGCAACAATGTCCTCTGTAACTGGACTCCATCTGTTAAGCCGGAGCATGTTGAATGTCAGCTGCCAGAAGCAGAAGCAGCACAGTTCCCCCGCTGACTCTCACCGAGAGCTTCATGGAGTTTGTGGGACGGCGAAGACCCTCTGAGGCCTGCAGCCTCCTGGCAGTCCCGAACGTCAGCTTCTTGGATGTGGATGAGGACGATGGGGCCGTAATCATCCGCATCAGGCCCAAATCCTCACCTATCCCGTCGAGGAAGAGCTCTTTCACGGATGAAGACTCAGAACCTGAGCCTTCTCTCTCTTGTTCCAGGAGAGTGTCCTTTGCAGACGCCAAAGGCCTCAGTTTGGTGCAAGTGAAGAAGTTTGATGCATGGGACTCACCGAACCCCCCCACATATGACTCTACATCGACCGATGGTCCAGAAATACAGGAATTCTTCCTTTTACCTTTAACATTTTCTCTTCCAGTGCCAGATAATGAGCTGGTTGCAAGAGTCCAAGAGCAGAAAATAGAGCTGGAAACCATCGAGCTACTTCCAGGGACCACAATACTCAAAGGAGTGATCCGTGTTCTGAACATCTCCTACGATAAGTCCGTCTATGTCCGCACCACTTTGGATGATTGGTGCACCCACTTTGACCTTCTGGCGGAGTACATCCCTAGTTCTAGTGACGGTGTGATGGACGGCTTCTTGTTTAAGCTCACCTTGGCACCTCCGTTCAGGGACCAGAGAGCCAGGGTTGACTTTTGTCTACGGTACGAAACCCCGATGGGGACATTCTGGGCTAACAACAACAACAAAAACTATGTGGTCGTCTGTCAGAAGGACAAAGGACAGAGGGACAACGTGAACAAGAAAAGCTGCCTTAAAACTGTTAGGTAAGGATCCATGATGGGAATTCTCACCAGTCTGACTCTGATTTGGGAATATCTTAGTGGAACTGATAAAATGGTGGAGAAGAAGGCAAGTGTGATTTATTTACTCTAGTCCAGACCACAGGACAAAGGACCAGTTCACCAATCAATATTTTTGGGTGGGAACAAATTTTGCGTTTAAAAAAATCCACATAATTGTAAAACATACGATCATAGTTGTTATGTTTGTTAGTCAGTGAAAGGCTGAATTCAGCAGTTTCACGTATAGATCAGTAATTAAACCCAAACACACTAACGAAGTCTGACTGGTATGAATTTGATTGGTTCACAGTCAGACTGTCTCCACTGTGGAAAACATTGCATCAAAGCCAGTTTCATCACAGGAAAATAAATCAACAGGTGACTCTTTATTTTGCTGATTGTGAAATAAAGTTTTTTTGTTGTGTTTTTTTTTTTTGTTTGTTTTTTACGTGCGATACGAACCGTTTGCAGCTGAAAAACAGGTCTGCCTTTTCTCCAGATGAGTGTGTCGGTGGATCAGCGGAAGACTTGAGGGATCTGAAAATCTCTGAAGGTCGGTCGGAAACATTGGGCGACGAGGAGCAGAAGCTACTGGTGAGTTTTATTAGTCCTGTTTTATAGCGGGATGAGTAAAATGAGTCACCAGTAAGGAAGGGACGCGACCCCTGCTGACCTCCCTGCAGAACGGTCACGTGACAGCGGCTCGAGTGCCAGTGGTGTAACTCGATGCACCTAAAGGACACTGCTGTTCACACTTCCTCACTGTCTCCCATTTTCTCATGCCTTCTTCTGCCGTGCAAGCAGTCGTGACTTAGCCAGGGCATTTTTATTATTACAGTGACACGCCGCTTCAAATGTCAGCCCGCTCATTTTGCTCATTGTGCGAGCAAGCTAAAATTAAACTCCCCTGTTGACGGACAGGTGGAGAGCGGGCAGAGCAGCGGCCGACGGAGGCAGAGGAAAGCTGTGCGGACGGCCCGGGTGAGGGACTACTTCGCCCAGAGACACAGAGGAGAGTCTGACAGAGATGAATCACCCCCAGAAATAAAACAGGCCACTCAGGGGGAGCATGTCTGTGTTTCTGAGGCGGACGGCCAATCAGAATGCCCGTTTGTTTCTGAAGCTCTGAAAACTCACCGCCAAGCTCCTCATAAAGTAGCACAGGAGCAGCCAGAGAAACCGGAGCCATTAGCGTGGCATGAGAGCACTACCAGCACTCAAAACAAGGGTTCTGACGCTGCTCCTGCAGGTCAAAGTATCCTAAAAGGTCTCTCCAAACCCGAGGAGGGAAATCCAGAAGTGACTTTCACGAGCAGCAAAAACATTGCATCAGTGAGCGTAGAGAGTCTCCCGCCACCGACCAGTCAGAGTGAAATCCTAAATACTGAAGATCACAGTCTTCCTCCTGAAATGAGACAGGGTGGTGATGCTGGTCCGTTAGATTCAAGAAATAAAAGTAGAAAACTGGAAATAAATGTCCCTGACAATCAGGAACTAAACTGTGATGTCATAGAAACCATCAGCTCAGGAGAAGGAGAAAGAAACGAAGAGAAGCAGATGAGTCCAAACACATCCCAGAGTCAGAAACGTCTTCCTGGAGACTCCTCAGAGCTGAATCCAGCTTTAGCTGCAGACTTGTTCAGTCAACACACATCCTCAGAGAGCAGACCAGACCAGGAAGCTAATCTAACCTTTGACCCCCAGAGACCAATCCTTGCTGATCCACAGGAACAGATTTTAACCAGTGAAACCAGTGAGATGCTGGAGAAGCAAGCAGGTGAGGAGAAAGAACATCGGCCCAAAATCGACTCCAATTTAAAGGGAGACGCACGTTCACAAGAGTCGGATGAAGAGTTTTCTCATTGGGAAAAGGACAGAATAATTCTGACATCTGAAGCATTTCAGGTGGAAACTAGGATCACAGAGATGTTGATCTCAAGCGAAGGTGGAGAGGATGAAGTTCCATCTGTGGAAGTGGTGAGCAACCAGAAGAGCCCTGCTGAGAGGTTTACAGATGGGTTCAGAGACAAACACATTCTGGGAAAGACGGAGCATCCCAACATGGAAGCTGCCGTCCCAAAACAGGACGAGGGTTTGTTTTTGGGCGACAATAGTGAGACGAAAAAGGAAGGAGAAAAAAAAGAAGTTGTGACTGAAAATAAGCAAATGGTGAACGAAGAAGGAAATGAGCTGCAAGCTCTGGCAGAAGAGACAGAAACCACCGATGGAAATAAAGAACAGCCAGAGACTTTCATAGAGGAGGGGAAGGAGGAGGAGTCGGGGGTGACAGGAGACGATGAGGAGGAAGATGTAGGAGATTTAGCTGGAAAAGGAGCTGATTCAGAGCATGGTGACGAGATGAAGGCAGAGAAAACCGATGGAGTAAAAGTCGAAGATGAATCAGAGATGGCGATGTTGCAGGTCAGTACTGGCGAGAAAACATGCCTAAATTATGAAGGCGTGAAGCAGGAAAATCAGCCAGAAATGACGTCCGTGGCAGCAGAAGACAGAGAAGGTGATTCTGATCAGAGGTCAGATGTTCCAAAACACAGAGCTGGAGATGGTTTATCTGCTCTGATGAGCAATGATCTGCAGGTTGAAAACACAAGCGAGGGGGGACACGCCCCTCTCCTCCAGGAGGAAAGCTTTCAAAGTGATAGAAGAGTCACACACGACCGATCCAACAACTCCTCTGCCTCAGCGTCACCGGCTGAACCTGAAGGTGACCAGACAAATCAGGGTTCTTCAGCAGAGTCGGACTCAGACGACGAAGTGGAGCTCTACATGCACTGTCTGAGGGCAGCTGGTGCTCCGGCGCAGGGTTTCTCCGGGAGCAGATGGCCCTCAGCGAGCAGAGGCAAAGGGCCACCAACACTGATGCCGTCCATCAATGAGTCTGTGGATGAAGAGGGGAGCGTTCCTCTGGAGGTTCCCAACAAGCAGAATGCAGCTTCTGCGAGGGAACAGGAAGCCATCAGTCTAGGGACGTGGAAAAGCACTTTCTCCTTCTGCTGCATCTCCAAAGCCCTCTTATGCAGCGCCCTGCTGGTGGTGTTTCTGGCCGTGGCATACCATCATGACTTCCTCGCCTGCTTCGGGCTCTATTTGATGTCTGTCATTTGGCTCTGCTGTCAAAAAGACAGACCACCTGCCAAAAACAAAAACAACAACAACAACAAAGACGGCTGAACTGAGGACTCTACCAGCGGAGCGCCTGGGCATTATCTTTTGTAAGACACATCTAAACACATGCATGTTCCCTGTGAAGGGGGAGGGGCTTACTTTGTGATGCTAAGAGTGTAAACGTGTTTTATTTCTGACATGAAATACATTATCAAGTGTTTTTATATTAATGCAATGAAGTAACTTTAATACTGGCAAGTTTTTAATGTTTCTCACAATTGCACTGTTTAAATCAAGGATGTCCAAACTGTGGCTTGTGGGCCACTAGTGACCCTCAGGGTGAGTTTACATGGTCCTCACCTGTAGATCCAGAAGGGTTGCATGTTGTCCGGATTTCTCCAGGCAGATAGATGCTGTTTTAAGTTTTATATTAAGACTTTTACTAATGTGAGCCTTATCATTTTAATCCCTCACTGACTTTACCAAAAGCACCAAAACCTAACAAAGGCTTGTCTTCGGCTTTCAGACTTCACTTCTGATTGCTTTACAGCTGGACAGGACACGGGGGGAAAAAAAAGATAAAAATTATGATTAAAATGTATTTTCTCAGAAAAAATAATTTTTTAAAACTATAGGCTAGTGTTTATCATTATATTTCTCCTGGTAACTGTAGTCTTTGCCGTCGTCGTCGTCTTCCTCCGCTTATCGGGGTCGGGGTCGCGGGGGCAGCATCCCAACTAGGGAGCTCCAGACCGTCCTCTCCCCAGCCACCAACACCAGTTCCTCCGGCAGGACCCCAAGGCGTTCCCGGACCAGATTGGAGATGTAACCTCTCCAACGTGTCCTGGGTCGACCCGGGGGCCTCCTGCCGGCAGGACATGCCCGAAACACCTCCCCGGGGAGGCGTCTAGGAGGCATCCTGACCAGATGCCCAAACCACCTCAACTGACTCCTTTCGATCTGGAGGAGCAGCGGTTCTACTCCGAGTCCCTCCCGAATGTCCGAGCTCCTCACCCTATCTCTAAGGCTGAGCCCGGCCACCCTACGGAGGAAACTCATTTCGGCCGCTTGTATCCACGATCTCGTTCTTTCGGTCATTACCCAAAGCTCATGACCATAGGTGAGGATTGGGACGTAGATCGACCGGTAAATCGAGAGCCTGGCTTTCTGGCTCAGCTCCCTCTTCACCACGACAGATCGGCTCAGCGTCCGCATCACTGCAGAAGCCGAACCAATCCGCCTGTCGATCTCCCGATCCCTCCTACCCTCACTCGTGAACAAGACCCCAAGATACTTAAACTCCTTCCACTTGAGGTAGGACCTCTCCCGACCCGGAGTTGGCAAGCCACCCTTTTCCGGTTGAGAACCATGGTCTCAGATTTGGAGGTGCTGATCCTCATCCCAGCCGTTTCCCACTTGGCCGCGAACCTACCCAGCAAGAGCTGAAGGTCAGAGCTGGATGAAGCTAGGAGGACCACATCATCCGCAAAAAGCAGAGACGAGATTCTCCTGCCACCAAACTCGACACACTCCACACCACGGCTGTGCCTAGAAATTCTGTCCATAAAGGTCATGAACAGAACCGGTGACAAAGGGCAGCCCTGGCGGAGTCCAACCTTCACCAGGAACAGGTCCGACTTACTACCGGCTATGTGGACCAAACTCACGCTCCTCTGGTAAAGGGACTGAATGGTCCTTAACAGAAAGCCACCCACCCCATACTCCTGGAGCGTCCCCAACAGGGTGCCCCTGGGGACACGGTCATAAGCCTTCTCCAAATCCACAAAACACATGTGGATTGGTTGGACAAACTCCCACGCCCCCTCCATCACCCTTGCAAGGGTATAGAGCTGGTCCACAGTTCCACGGTAGTCTTTGCATCAAACCTAATATCATTATACTCTGTAGCAATACAATTGTGATAAATTAGGAGTCATAATACATTAAGAGCAGCCAAAAATAAACAACACAGCAGCTGTGAGATATTCTGGGGTGAAGAATACTTTCAAACTGTCAGAAGGACTTTAAAAGAATTTATGACTGCATGCTTAACATTGGGTTACCTCCAGCAATAGCTGTCCCTGCCTTGGATGAAATAAAATAAAATAAAAATTGTATCTAAAAAAATTAATCATTTTGGCCTTGAAATATGTTCTTGTTCATGTATGGTCAAATACATACATAATAAAAAAAAAATAATACAAACATTACATTTACAGAGGAACAACCCCCTCACACCACTGGGTGGCGCTGTACGCAGCCTATAGCCTGCACTACTGAGTGAGTTTCATGTAAAACTTTTACTGTGGATTTGAGTTTAGTAGAGGACGTATTCGTCAGTTTTTCTGAGTGCAAAATGTTTCGTGTGTTCCAAATCAAACCTAAAATTTTTAAAAATAAACACAAGCATTAAGACCGAAAAAAATAAACACAATCTAGATGTAAACCTATAGTTTGAATTTATTTCTAAGTTCATGTGTGTTTCTAATAAACCAAATATCCCATTTTGCATTGAGTTCAGTTATAAAAAGACAAAATAAAACAATAAATTATTAACTTTTTATTCAAAGTTACGTTATTATTGTGAACTGTTAAAAAATTACAAATTAGCCTCACGGCACTATGGAACTTGAGCGCCCATCTCGCTCTCTGATTGGACGACATACTGTCGCTTCTTAAGCATGTGTGTCAACGCCAGCCAATCAGCTCGCCTTTTATTGGCCAGTGCACCGGTTCGCCGGTCGGGTTGGTCGGGTTACACTTGGGGGGGTAAGGAAAGCTTCTGGCAGAGGCAGCGTTCGGAGCTATGAACCCCAGGGATAATGTCGAGACGGGAGAGACGGAAAACCAACCGGAGGCGTTCTGCGTGCCGATTCCCAACGAAGAACCCAGCAAGAAGGAGCAGGAAAAGCTGTCGGGGCTCGTCAAAAACGTCCACAGGAAACTGCGTAGGAAATACAGAGAAGGTAAGACGACAGCCTCTTGGTCCTGCAGCTTGGTGACTAATGTCAGCCAAAACTAGTGAGTCCTGAGGTCCTAGCGCGTCTCCGTGGTTAATGTTAAAGTTTCTGTGTAGCTTCTGCTAGCTGGTTGCTGCTGTTAGCTCCCCCGCCGACATAAAAAAAGGAAAACAACAAGGCCTTTAAAGCACCGGAAGATTACTGGGTAAAGACTTGCCGTTTGTTAAATCTGTTTCATTTTTATTTTCCAGGTCCACCCAACACACACTTTAGTTCAGGAGGAACACAAAAACAATATTATGTTGCCCATGAAAGGTAACAGGAGACCAGGGCAGTTGTTTTTTTGTTTTTCTACCAAATAATCCATCAGAGCTACAAAAATCTGTCTCTGGCATCTGATCATGCTCGTTCATGTTAAACTGCACTGCTAGCTTTGGATTTATAATTGATATTTGTTTATTTATTACCATAAATGTGATTTAAAGTCTAGGCAAATTTGGGTAATTCAAAGTTTTGAGGAAATGCATAATTTTATGTGACTGGTCAAGTAGAAGATCACGTTTTTTTTTTACTAAAATCTGAATCTTACAAAACATTATTTTTTTAATGCTATGAAATATAAAATGGTGCGTTCACGGACCAGAGATATTAAGCAGGTTTTTGAGATCTAGATTGTCTGATCGCAGGTGAAGCTAGTTATGTTCAACACTAACTTATAAATCTTTTATTAAAATAGATTTCTCTATTGACCTGCATTCATTTTTTCTTTGTTCAGCCAAGTCTCTTCCCTTTCCGGTTGGCTCATGGGTCCCCGGAAGAATGAAAAACAACTAACCAATGGGGCTATAAAAGCTATTTTCTAATCCGCTTTGCCTTACTCCCTTAATCGCACATATGTTGTCCTACAATGTAAAAAAGGAATTTTGTGTTTTTCAACTGTCTGTCACGTACTTCGAGATTTGTTTGTAAAAATCTGTTAAATTTCATAGTTAAAAAGACTCCTTAGAATGTCTTCTCATCCAGCGTAGCAGCTCCTGACCACATGACCAGACTTAAGGTGGGTTTCTCCATGTTTAATGCTCCTTCTGTCATCCTGGAACAAGGATTCGAAGCTTGCTAAACTCACTCCCCTTTTTTCTTCTCCTGTTCTCCCAGTTTGTTTTGATGACGTCAGTTTGGTGAGAACATTTGCAGTCCGTTACTTCTTTTCACACAACACCTAAAATAACTGGCCGCCTGTCGAAAATAATCAAAATGTCTTTAAAAGTCACGGACATCAAACGGGATCAGAAAGTAACTTTTATCCCTCATAGACTCCCATTCATTTTTCTTTTTTGGCAGGTGGGGGCCCATGGTCTGGAAGTAGATGGCTTAGGCGTGAGCTACCACTTCCTTCCACTGGACGTGAAAGCGGCACGTAACATAATAGTATTATTTTTCCCACAAGCTCATTCCCGACCGGGAGCGTTTCTCATGTGAAACGGCAGCAAAAGCGTTCCACACCGTTGCTCCTGCAAGTCACAAATTCACGGGAGATTTGCAACACCACACATGATTTCAGCAGTCTACACAGTAACAAGCAAGGAGAAAGAGAAAGCTGCATGTGTCCAAAAAGGTCTGTGGTTTATTTACTGTTCTGTTTACATCGGCTACGGGGCTCTCGCAGGAAATGACGTACTGCACGTGACTTATTTTGAAACTTTTCCGATGTTTACGCTGATTTTGTGTTTGACTTCCTGTCTGACCCAATCTGAACTGTGGAGTTTGACATGTTTTGGAAGCGAATCACTTAAAAAATAGACTCAAAACGTAATGATGGTGTTCCATCGCATCTGGGAGGCAATCTAAAGCTCACACTTGGCTGCAGTTGGACAGGAACCCATCCAGTATGGTGGCGGCTAATTGCCTCGTTGTATATTTCGCGGCCGTTTTGCGTCGCTTTCATGTCTAGTGGCAAGAAGGGGTTAGGCTCCCCATGACACTGGATGTCTTGGAAGTGTCTGACCTAAGTTTTCTATTTAAATGCGGTGTTAAAAGTTGAAGATATCATCTGGCTTTTGGTAGCACGATATGTTGTATCGCCAAATTCTTGCCGACACAAGTACTATATAAATATACTTATTAGCTCCAATTGTTTTCATGTGCAGCTTACAGATTACATAATTAGGAAATGAATATCCTCAAAGGTAAAAATGCACAAGACAACGAAAGGTCTGAGCTTCTGGAGTGTAAACATTTTAAACAGAGTGTTTGCAGAAGTTTCGTGTGTTTTTCAGCCATCCAGAAATGGGGAAGTTTGGAAAAACCCTCTTACAACACATCAGTGCAATGTGCCGGAGAGCTCTACGGTTTTCATGATTTTGTTTTAAATGATTGTTTTACAGCTCTGATGCCCGTTTTCCCTCTTTGTTGTAGCTCAGAGTTGAAAACCTCATGTTTGCTGTATTTCTCCACTACTGCCTCCCCAACACTTTGTGGTGTTATCTCACCAGTGCTCCGTTTTGTTTTGTTTTCTGAAGAAACACACTCCGTCCTCCTGGGGAGTGTGTGGGTGGGAAACAGAAAAGGCATAATGAAGTTGCAGCTGGAGATGTACTTATTTACAGTCATTTTGCAAATCCAGAACAAAAGCAGTTTGTTGTCTGCACAGGATTTCTCCCAGTATTCCACTTTGAATTTCATCACAACAACTTGGTCATCTTCTTGAGTTTTTCTGTTTCTGAAACGTTTCGCTTGAGTCAAATCTCACAGCAGACATCTGCAGAAAAGTTGGAAACGGATGGAAATGTTGGGTTAGCGTTGTGCTAAAATGAGCTTCAGAAAAGAACTGGCTGTTTTGGAGACAGGAAAAGCTTAAAGAAGCTAGCAGACCCCATGATTGGTTAATAAGTAAAGCATGATCCGGCAGGCTTGGCATTGAGTCATAGTGGTCATGCTTCCCCAGAGCTGCTGTTTACCATTTGTTGTCCTTTTCTGTAAATCGGATCGTTTTCCTCCCTTCTGGTCATGAGGTTTCTCCCCAATCACCGTGTTTGCTTTTGCCGCAGGCTGCCAGCTCTTCAGCAGCTGTTTGCTGCGCTAATAGGAAGTTTTGTTTTCAGTAACATTACAGTACAGTTTTTGGTGGTGGATACATTTTTTTTTCACGAGGAACAGAGCTGCCTCTGTGCTGGTAGAGCGGGTGAATGTGTGGAGGGTGTTGAGGTGCCTGCAGTGGTGTAAATATTTTCAGAAGGCTTTTTAAAAAGAAATGCAGTCACTGAAAGCAAAAGTGGATAAACAAAGCTGGCAAGTAAGTTTTGAGACGGTTTATGTGAGAGACGAGAAGGAGTCGGGGATAACTCGCGGTGTCGATGTTTTGCTTTTTGTTCTGCCCTGATCCGATGCTCTTTCCTCTCAGTGGGTGACTTTGAGAAGATCTGGCGTGAGCACTGTGAGGATGAGCAGACGCTCAGCGAGTACGCCCTCGCCATGAAGAATCTCGCCGACAGCCATTGGACCAAAAACTGCGAAGGAGAAGGGCGGATAGAATGGTGTCGAAGGTGAGACTTGTCCTCCAAGTTTTCATTTTAGTTTGGCAAACCTGGTAGAAGCATCTTAACGGTTTCTTGTTTGAACTCGTGCAGTGTCTGTCAAGAGTATTTCTTGGATGGTGGGATGAAAAGAATGTTAGAAAAGGATGAGAAAGGTGCCGCATTAGCCATGGGTCTGACTCCAACGTCTACACAAGTGCTCAGCACCAACCCCAGGTAGGCTCGGGTAGGGATGCACCGATATGATACTGGTATTGGTATCGGCACCGACACCAATACCAGTATCGATATTGGTAAAAGTCAACTGATACCAGGAACCGATACCAATGCAGTTGCTTGAAAATGGCTTCACTGTAACCTGTCATTTCTGTTCACCTAATATTTTAGTTTTGTGATGATTTCTATTCATATATTTTACTTTTTATCTACCTCACGGTCTTTTCCTGTTGAAAGCAGAGAAGAAAATAAAATCTGTATTCCAAATCATTGCATTTTTTGGTGTGGTAGAAGTATCGGTATTGGTAATCGGTATCGGCGAGTACTCTGATCCAAGTATCGGTATAGTATCGGTTTGGAAAAAAGTGGTATCGTTGCATCCCTAGGCTCAGGCAGAACCTTCCAAAAATACAAATAATGTTTTTGAAAAATGTAATATGACTTTTTTTGCATTATAAGTGAACAGTTCCCTCCAGATTTGTTAACAGAAGTCCTCTGGCCCAGGAATCTAGACGGGCAGTAGCCGAAGGGAAATGATTTTACTCTGCATGTTGGTCTAGCCACGAAAACAGCCTCAGCAGGTCGACCATTAGCCTGAGGAGTTTTGTGTTACGCCAATCACGGCGCTCTATCGGTTTGTTGGGCCAATCACAGAACTCTATTGGTTTGTTGGGCCAATTACTGCTCTCTCAGTTTAGTGGGCCTATCACGGCGCTCCTTCAGTTTGGTGGGCGGGATGACAACTAACTAACATGGCGTTGTCTCGTTTTAAAGAGCTTTGGCATCAACTTTGGACAATTTAGACTTGGGCTTTTAGAGTCAAGAGCAGATAGAGGTACTTGGGTCCTTTATTTGGGAAAAGGATGTATTTGCAACTTTGACAGTGGACGGTGGACTGTCCCGTTGACTGGCATCGGTAGCGGTGAGTACGTCATGTTGTTCATTGTCCAGTAGCATGTGGAGGCCGTTTGAAAGACAACCGTGGATTCCGCCCCACCACTGAGCTCTCTTTATGGGTGGCCAGACTATGTATTCACATAGATAGGATGATTTGCCAGGCTAGAAGTCCTCCACTCTGAAAGCTAAAATGGCAAATTTGGAAAACAAAATGGCATAAAACATTTTTTCCATGCCTCTTAACAACATTCTAACAAAGTATAACTATAAAAATATTGTGGAGATAAAGAAGAAAATAAAGTGGTTGGTTCTCTCGCATTTTTCTAAAAACCTCTGCCAATGCTGCCTTTTGGCGCAAACACAACTACTGGACCATCTGGTTGTCGGTGTTGCTGCTTCCCTTCCTTACACACTCACATATTTAGCACCAGAACTCCACTTGGAGTCGTATATAAATAAGCGTTTGGATGTAGAAATCATTGACTGGTGTTTAGCGCTATCCCGATTCCTCTGGCAACAGGTGTTTCCTGTTCCAGCAGAAGTATCTCAGGGAAGAAGCCATAGGGGAGGGGTGAGTGTCCGGTGACCACGTTTGTGTTCTAAACTTAGCTTGTTCTGTCATTTCTCTATAACGGCTTTAACCAGAATGTTTATTTTGCACAGAAAATGTTAAAAACAGCTTAAGTTTCTGTGTAGGTGATATGTAAGAAAATACAGATGCACTGAAAATGTGTGGTTTTTGTTATAATACTTATTTAAAAGCGGTGTGTGGATTTTATTATTGAGAGTTTATACGTCAACCTTTTGCTGTATTATTTGTGGTACGATTGAACCTCTGACTGCTAGGTGGCAGCAGTGTTAGCACCTTCATTCTGACGGAACGAGATCTCGCACTAATGCTGGATAGTCGTTGCTCAGTACGCAGCTACATGGGTACGCTCTAGCTTACTTGACAAGTGTAGCAGAAAGTTTGTCTACTACTGAATACAGAACAACGAAGACTGCACTGGGAAAAGTGTCGTACTCCGGTACGTCATGGCAACGAGAACTGCTCTATGGAAACAATGAGCTGAAATCCAAATTTTAGCAGGAATATTGTTTTTGAGAACCATTTATATTCATTTATTTATTTATTTTCCACACACATAAATAACAGTGGTTTGTTCAAGAGCAGAACACTTTATTCTTATTTTTGTGTCTACATTAGAATATAAAGGTTGATGTCAAGGGATGTTTTTTATTTATTTATTTTTTCAAACACGCAGCATGAACACCAGCAGTAAAAGCTAGCACCGGTAGAGAATGGCTCTTAAAGCTTACACAGCGTGTGGTTTAGTGTTGCAACCCGCCCCAGTAGAAGCCTGACCTGCTGGCACTGACCAGGTGTTACTTCAGCTCCGCTCACTGGCTCCGTGTCTCTGCTTCAGTTCTGTCTTTCAGCTCGGGAAGATTCGCCTCCTGGACGTGGGAAGCTGCTTCAACCCGTTCTTGAAGTTTGATGAGTTTCTAACAGTTGGGATTGACATAGTGCCTGCAGTGGAGGTGTGTGCAACCCTTTGCTGCATTCACCGTTTGTTGTTCTGATGTGTTTTGATTGTGTTTCATGAGGTTTTTCTGCCAGGGTGCAAGGTGTTTGCATTACGAAGCACGGCTTTATGAACTAGTTCAACAGAAAGTAGAACAAGCACCCTGCAGCTCATGAAACTCGACGCCTGTCACGGTGATGGTCATTTAAAATCGTGCTTTATGCTGATTTCTTTACTATTTCAGAGTGTGTACAAGTGTGACTTCCTAAACCTCCAGCTCCAGCAGCCTCTCCAGCTGGCGGGCGACGCGGTGGAAGCCTTCCTGCAACAGCTCCACAACCCCATTGACGCTCTGCCGGCCCAGCTGTTCCACGTGGCGGTCTTCTCGCTGCTCCTGTCTTATTTCCCCTCACCATACCAGCGCTGGATCTGCTGCAAAAAGGCCCACGAGCTGCTGGAGCTGCACGGCCTGCTGCTCATCATCACACCCGACTCGTCCCACCAGAACCGCCACGCCCTCATGATGCGCAGCTGGCGAGTGGCGGTGGAGTCGCTCGGCTTCAAGCGCTACAAATACGTCAAATATTCCCACCTGCATCTAATCGCCTTTCGTAAAGTGTCTCTGGCCACCACCAGCGATCTGGTGTCACGCAACTACCCGGAGATGCTTTACATTCCCCAGGACTTCAACTCCAACGAGGAGGAGGATTGTGCCGACATGCCAGCTCAGGCGCGCTCTGAGTTTGAGGACGAGCAGCTGGCCTGGGGCTTCACGGAGCTGCCGGACACGCCGTATGACTCGGATTCAGGCGAGAGCCAGGGCAGCTCCGTCCCTGTCTTCCATGAGCTGGAGGATCTCATCCTGCTTCAGAGCTAAATCAGAACCAACACCCATCCCTGATCTCGTCTCTGCCCGCCCGGCTCTCTCCCTCCTGCTGCCGCGCTGCCAAATGAAAAACCTTCTGCTTTCTTCTCCCGCTCCATTTCTTCTAAAAACGAGCAGTTTGCACAGTGTGAGAGAGAGTTTACAGATTATTTTCTCATATTTACACTCCTTTCAGATCTGACACACACACACACACACACACACACACACACACACACACACACACACACACACACACACACACACACACACACACACACACACACACACACACACACACACTAAGATGGATCTATTTTGATAAATAGCTGCGTTTTTTTAAAAGTTGGAAACTGAATGCCCTCAAGATATCTAAACATCTTCAGTTTTTATTGTTTCTCCTCCGCTCAGCTTTTAATTACAACTGAGCTTGTTTACATCCTGTACTCTGTCTCTATTTGAATAAGCTAGCGTCGCAGGCTAAAGCCAAAAACCGCGTGTGAGAAATGTGGTTGCACTGGGGAGGAACGAGCGGCCTGGTACGCTTGCATCTGTCACCGTCATGCAGCTAGCCTCTGGAAACTCTCCATGTGCATTTAGTTTTTCAAGAATTAAAGTAAATTCATCATTTTAATTAAATATATTCTTAATGGAACATCGGTGTTGTCCAGTGTAAAGTGTGGCAATACCATTTTTAACTCCTGAAAGATTTTTGTGTCTTCTACCAGAAATGAGTATTTGTAGCGTTTAGTCAGTCGAATTGTATTTGTGTTAAATGTGAGGAAATGTAAACGTTTACTTGTAGTTTAGTCGGTACGAGTGTAAAGTAGGTATTAAACTCTTTTCCTCCTATTGTCATTAACATGTTGAGCACTTTTGCTAAATTTCTTCACTTTTACGGTTTTTGAGAAGAGAAATTCTAAAAATGTCAAGTTGATAGGATAAAATTGACTTGACTGAAGCAGTATCTTTTAACCGGGGTATTCACCTTTAATGTGAATATAAAGAATCATAAATGATCCGTATTTGAATTCCCATCACGAGTGAGGGCTGTATGGAAGCACACAGCTGCCAGTCGCCCAAAATAAAACCAGACTGAAGTGATGTTAGAATGTGAAAACATTCTGGTTCTAACCAAATAATATTCACATTAGAAAAATATTATGGTACATGTTTATGTATATACATATTTATATTATAAAGACGTGAACATTATATTGTAACAATAAAATTATAAAATCACTAATTATATTTTGTGCGTGTGGCAGCTTTAGGCTTCCGTAGTTGCATGTATTTGCAGGGTTTTGTTCTATTGATGTTCAGAACCAGGATGCAAGGTGAAAAGTTACACACTACCAGGTGCGATGTTGGTGTGTATTGTGAGTATTGTTGGGTTTATGAATGTTTTTTCTACGTCAGTGGCTCTTGAGGATTCATCCCAGTGGATGTTGCTTAAATTTAGCAGTTTTCCCAGTTCAGTGATGAGGTGCCTTGGAAGCTCTTGTTTTGCTTTGTTTTGTTTTTTAATCAGACGTGACACTTCTGTGGCCAAACCGCACACACAACTTCTGGTTCGCGTTTATCATTTTAAGGGAACTGGAAATGTTTCGGTACACTGAAGTGTTTCGTTTCTATTTTCATATCATTTTCACATACGGAGAAGTAAAACCACACATGGTTTGTAGAGTGATGTCTTCCAATTCAGTTATTTCACCCATTTACATAGTCGATCCTGTTTTCAGTACAGCAGAACAACGTGTGCTGTAGAAAGGTTGTGTTTCGCTTTTATTTGTGTGTGTGTGTGTGTGTGTGTGTGTGTGTGTGTGTGTGTGTGTGTGTGTGTGTGTGTGTGTGTGTGTGTGTGTGTGTGTGTGTGTGTGTATTTTTTTGTGTTTTAGTACAGTTTTATTAAAAATGGTATTATGAGAAGGTTTTAGTGTTTCTGCTATGCTTGACTGGAATTCCAGGGAAGTAACATTACAAGTAACACAGATTTAACATGTTTTGTCAACCCAGAAGAGCCAGTTGAGGTGGCTCGGGCGTCTGGTCAGGACGTCTCCCTGGTGAGGTTTTCCAGGCACGTCCAACCAAGAGGAGACCTAAAGGGAGACCCAGGACACGCTGGAGGGACATTCTCTCACCTAGCCAGGGAATGCCTTGGGGTTTTCCTGGAAGAGCTGGCCCAGGTGGCTGGGTGAGAGGGAAGTCTGGGCCTATTGACTTGAGCTGTTGCCACCACCACCAGACTCTGGATAAGTAGAAGAATGGATGGATGGACCGATTTGACATAATTTAACAGATGTTTGTCCTCTGTAAATAAAATTATTTTAAGATAAATCTAGAATTTTCAGGGTATGTGCTGTTTCCACATTATTCCATTATATATTCAAACCATTATAATGATTCATTCAAAAAAAACATTTATGACTCTGGTCTAATATTTAGTCATTTAAGCATGATATTGTTTAGGATTAAAATCTGAATGAATTGTCACTAAAGTGCAGCAAAATTAGCCCAACAGAAACCATAGATTTTAACTGTAATTAGCAAAAGCTCCTATTTTACTTAGATTTATGGACTGACGTCACTGATGACATGAAAAATAAAACGCGTCTTCTGCCTGCAGGGATTAGAAAAAGGTTTCCGTGTTGTTTGAACAGTTAGAATGAGATTATGTTCTAGTCTTGTGAAATCAAACGTTGAGTTCGACTGTTTAGAACTCGGCACCTTTTAGACCCTCTGCACTTACCGTACTCGAAGCTCCGTCATGGAGGTTGTCATCTGACTGAAGTTTGGAGGAAACAAACTTTTTAAACGAAGATGTTTCTTGGCCCGTTGGCAGCTGGGATGCCGACACGCTGTCTACAACATTAATGGACACATGATGAAAGAAAACAGCGACCGTGAGATGTGCTTCGTTGTGATTTGACGTTTTTGCGTTAGCTAGGCTAGCTTCCTTCTCTTAAGTTTGGGGAGCAGTTTGAGTGCCGTGGGATTTTAGAAGTCGTAGTTGAGTAAAACTCGGCGTTCAGATTTGAAAACGTCAGTGGCTCGTATGAAAATGTGTCGGTTTCTACGTTACTGTGTCAGCCACTGTCTCCACGCGGCGATGACCCGGCTGGAGGAGGTTAACGGGGAGGTGAGCGTGTGGTCGTCGCTGCGGTGGCTCGGCTACCTGGCCGGGCTGAACCTGCTCGTAGCCATCTGCTTGGGTCTGTATGCGCGGTGGGAGGGAACAGCAGAGTCCGCTCTCCTTGTTACATTCATCCTGGCCCTGGTGGTTTTGGGAATAGCCATTGTCCTGTACTATTACTTCAACATGGAAAGGGTCAGCCTCATCCTGCTCCACCTGTGGTACGGCTTCTTGTTGGGTCTGCTCTGTTTTGTCAACCCGGCCGCCTTGGAGGAGGACGTGAAGGAGCGGGCGGCCAACTACCTGTTGCTGGCCAGCCTCGCCCTGAGGACGCTGTGGGCGCTGCTGGAGCGGATGCTGGGGTGCACCCGGTACCGCCCCGCCTTCCTCACCTCGGCGGAGCGCTCGGAGCTGGTGGGCTTCGCCGCAGCCAGCACGGTACTACAGAGCCAGCAGTCCGTCAGCGTGGCGGTGCTGGTTATGGCTCTGGCCGTGGTTATACTCACCCTCAGGATGAAGGTCTTTCTGGCTGTCCTCAGCTTCACCTGCTTCGTAGCCATCACCGGGGGTCCGTTCATCAAGTCTCTGAACATCACCACCAACCCGTTCGCCCTCTCCTGCTTCTTCAGCCAGCTCATCTGCGACCCTCTTATGGATTTTTACTTCAGCGGTCTGTCTGTCACCGAGCGCTGGAAATCCCTGCTGGTGTCCCGGGCTCTGTGGCGTCGGCTGTCCCTGCTGCCTCTGCTGCTGGTCGAGGTGGGCTTCATCATCCAGGCGGCTCGGAGACTCTCGGATTCGGACTCGGGGTACCTGGTGATCCCGGGATTTGTGGTGTGCCTGCTCTTTTGGGCCATTTGCCACATGGTGTTCATTATCACCGTGTGGGGCTTTCACACCAAACTCAGTGACTGCCAGAGGCTGTGCCTGTCCCAGGGACCAGAGGACACCAGCCTGGACAAAGTTATGGCTTCCAAGGGCATGAGACACTTCTGTCTCATCTCTGAGCGCCTAGTGTTCTTTGCTCTGGTGTCATCTGCAGTTGTTGCCGCTCTTTGCTGGCAGGTGAGTCACATTTTAGCAGCTTTCTTGTTCTAGACCAGCGAGCACACCTCAGGTAAAGATGATAAAAAATACAGCTGTTAAAATTTCATTTATCTATACCCTGTGTGATAACAAAACTTAAGAGGACCCTTCTGTCCCGTTACTTCTGGAGTAACAAAATGTCACCCCAACACGGCGGTGGTGGTGTGATGGTCTGAAGCTGCTCCAGGATTTGGACCACTTGCTGTAACTGAGGGAACTGAGACTTTTCTCCACACTTAAAACCCTGATGGAGAATGTCTGACCTTTAACCTTAGGCAGGTTTTCTCTGATTGTTGAAATCTGTTTTCTGATCAGAACAGAAGTAATGGCCTAGGCGTGAATACCATTCACAGGCGCAGCATTGTGAAAATCCTGTAAACAGTTTTTTTATACTTTGCTTTTAATGATTCAGTATTTCTTGTAATTTATCAAAACTGTCTTTATCAGTAGGGTTGGGCATCGATAGGAACCGGGACTAAATGTCAGTTTTTCCCAAAAATTATTTAAAAAAAATTTCATTTAGATTCCCGTGCCGACCGGAAGAGGAACCTGCGGCCGATCTCCGTGGAAAAAAATAAAAATAAATGTGATCTGCAGATTCTGACCGTTTTTTAGAGCTGATCACACCAGCTGTCTGTCTAGGAGCCTATAGGGATAATAAAAAATAAATGAATACAATAATAATTAAATAAAATCTCACAACACGTAAAGTTGTAAGATTTTATTATTTATTTTTTTTATTTAGATCTGTTAGATTGTTACTGACAGCAGCTACATTAAAGTTTCCGTTTCCCTCCTGACTGAATCGCTGCTGCAGCACGTAGGTGTGAACTCATCCTGGACATGATCTTCCTGAGAGGTTTAGCTGACAACCGCTGGGCTTCTCTGGTTGTGCTGAAGACGTTTAGCGTCTCATCCTGGAGGCTTCTTCAGTTCCCACTCTTTGGCTGTGGTCAGAAACAAAAACACTGATTGTGCTTCAAGTCTTTTTGATTCTTTCTTGAAAACATGTTCTTTTGTCTAAATGAAGGTGATGTTATTCATGATGTGACCGGATAAGCATCCTGACACTGTATCCAGGTTGATCATGCTCCCTGGCCACAGGGATGTCCCATTGGGAAGCTGGTTAGCATGCGTGACTCTCGCCCGGGAGTCTGGGGGTCGAATCCCGCCCGAGTCCTCATTGCTCCACCTCGCCGCAGTAGAGTTAAAGTTCATGTTGAAGTTCAGGTCATTTCATCAAGTAGGACCAGTGCTTAGCCGGTTCATTTATAACGCATAATGTTTTTGGATCCTGTCACTTGAAAGAATCAGAATTGATAGGAACCAGAGTCGTTCAAATTCCAATGATGCCCAACCCTAGTTGTCAGCTGGGCCTGAAGAGCTTTAAAAATAGTCTTTTTAAAGCAGAATCATTAAAACTGATCACTTAACTGGCTTTTAAAAAGCAAACGTACAGAATAATGTTTTCTAAAGAAGAAAACGTTCTTTCAGATAAAAATGCTTTATTGGTTTCAGAATGATCATCGTTTGTGTTTACGTTTTTGTCTGTACATCAGTGCTTTTTGCGTAGCCTCTTGAGGACTCTTGTGACTTGCCTCTGCAGGCCTCCAGTAGTCTCTTCATGGGTATGTTTCTGCTCAACCTGTCCCTGGAGTGCCTCTTCCACGGACTCTTCTACGAGCTCGGGAACAGCCTGGGAGGAACCTGTGTGGGCTATGCAGTGGTCATCCCCACCAACTTCTGCAGGTGTTGCTTTAAACAATGCACCTTTAAATAAATGATGTCATGGTTTGGGTTTGACCTAAAGCTGGTATCATTCCTGTCTTCCCTGTTCCAGTCCTGATGGACAGCCCGTGCTGCTGCCTCCGGGCCAGGTGCATGAACTAAACAGACGCTCTACAGGGATGTTGAGCAACATTCAGCGTTTCTTTGCCTGTCACCTGATTGAAAACTTTGGATGTGACTATTCTACAAGCGGGGTGACCCTAGAGACTCTACAGGCCAAGATCAAAGCCTTTTTGGAGCTCCGCACGGCAGATGGGCCTCGCCACGACACATACGTGATCTTCTACAGCGGTCACACACACCGCTCTGGAGAGTGGGCTTTGGCAGGTGGGAACAAGACACTAAAGGGATGTTTGGCACATTTTAAAGCTTGTTTCCTTGGAAAAGTTCTAAACTAATACCATCTTAGCTGTTATAGGTGGATTCCTGAATGGTTGCTGGAGAAAAGATGTTATGCCAGAGTGAAGACCGCAAGTTCATTTCTGCTTTCTTAAAACTGCTCCAATGTCCAGACAGTTCATGTGAATGTGGCTTAGGGTTAGGGTCGTCGGCCCTGTCAGACACACGTCAACCTTAAAGCAGAAATCCGGACTTTCACCACCTAGAGGCAGAAAAATCTACCTTAACTTCTCACTGGCAGCCATTTCCTGATCAGAAAGCCCCTGACTACCAGCGTTTTTCAGCACTTTTACTGTTTTTCGAAAAGTCAGAAGGTTGTGCGGTCTATGATCGGGTAAACACTAAAAGTACCGAAATAAAGAGTAGACTCATTTCCGACGTCAGGAAGAATTCGCGTGTTTCTAGCTTTTTCCGTTCTTTCACAATCCGTTGTCGGAAGTGTGAGCTGCAGAAGCTTTTCTGGTTTGCGCCTTGCTTTAGGCAAAGTGGCGTCCCAAAATGATCTCCCAATTCATGGACAGTCTGCTTCCTGATCACGTGACGCGTAACACACGTCACTTTCCCAGCAGGTCCCTGAGGTCCAGTGATCAAAGCCTACTGGTTGTGCAGCACCAGGCTAAAGACCAAAGGTGACAGATCATTTGCTGCTGTGGCCCCCAGACTCTGGATCTCTCTCCCCCTGAGCCTGAGATCAGTGGACTCAGTGGACTCCTTTAAAAAGCAGCTGAAGACTCACTTGTTCAAGCTGGCTTTTGTATGACCTTCATCACCACTCTCTCTTTATTCTGCTCTCCCCACCTATTCCACCTTCCTCAGGATCCACTGATTTCCCTCTTTCCTATTCACTCTCTCTCTTTCTTTACATTTTTAATCACGATTGTCTATTTTTGCTCATTTTAAACATATTTTTAATCATTTTCTAATTTTTTTTTTTTACATTTAAAATGTTTTGCTTTTGTGAACGCCTCGTGATTTTTATCTTGAGAGGCGCTATAGAAAAGATATTTTCTTCTTCTTCAAGCCCATCGCGTGTCTCCATGATTACAACTGGAAGCAGCGCCTCTATTTAGGACACACATTCCACATCCAAGGAATGTCTTTCAGGAAAGATGTTGACAATTTGGGGAACTACTGCCACCTACAGGCTTGGCATCTGTATAAATGTCATAACGCACTGGAGTTTTTGCTGATAATGAGGTGGTGTGGACCCTTGTTTTTTTTCCGTGTGTGTGTGTGTGTGTGTGTGCGTGTGCGTGTGTGTGTGTGTGTGTGTGTACATGGCCTGAAACTGAACTTGGATCCGCTGCTGTAAACTCTTTATTTTCTCCAAACTGAGGCCATTCAGGGGGTATTTTTAAAGGGCAAGGGTAATTAAAACCTTCGCACAGTTGAAAAAACCTTTTTTTAAGAATGCTGTTTGCTTTCTGTCAGCTGGTTTCTCTTTGTAAATAAAACCCTAACCTCTGATTAATAGTCAGTGATTTTGTGTCCGTTAGGTGGAGATGTGCTTCGCCTGGATCAGCTCTTGGAATGGTGGCGGGAGAAGAACGGTAGTTTCTGTTCCCGTCTCATCTTGGTGCTCGACTGTGACAACTCCTTACCCTGGGTGAGGGAGGTGAGGAGGGTGGAGGGTCCGTACGTTGCTGTGCAGGGAGCGACACTGGCTAGGGGGAGCAGCGTGGCGCTGGAGGACACCCCGCAGCTTGGAGACTTCACCTCTCAGTGGGTGGAGTACAACTGCAACCCCAACAGCACCATCCGGTGGTTGGAGAGGGATAGGGCAGTTTCTGCCACCTATGGGATCGCCAAGCACTGGAGCGACTACACGCTGCATCTGCCAACAGGAAGTGATGTCACCAATCACTGGAGCATGTACTTCCCTCGGATCACCTACCCGGTGGTCCAGCTGGCTGTGTGGTGTGGAGGCTTGAACTTACTGTGGCTCTGCAGCTCTTGTCTGCGCTATCTGAGGAGAGTCAAGCTGAACTGGTTCCCACCGTCCGTACTGGACACAGAGCAGGGCTTCAAACTGGTCCGATCATAGAGATCGGAGCAGAGGCTGCTTCTGGATCAAAGCACAAAACATTTCATTTGCTTAGGCAGCTGCTGGATTTTAAACGTGTCACCAAGCAGCGTCCAGTTGTTACTGAATTAGTTCCTTTTATAAAAGTCTTTTTAACACCAGGTTTTATATTCTTCCTAGTTGATGTGAGATTAAAACCCATCGTCACTCTAGATATGCGGTTTTGCACATTTTTAACTTTATGCTCACTTAGACCTGATTCCAGCTTTAAATATTCACCTGTTGCCTTAAAGTCACCAAATATGAAACCCGCAGCTGTTCTTGTGTCTGAAACCAAAGTGGCTGTAATCAAATGTCTCTTATTTATCTGCTTGTGTGAAGGGATTCCTTTTGTAGCTGATGACGCGCTGAAATGTGCAGCAGTGAAGGTTTTCTAACGTTATTGGGTGGGGGGGTGGAGGTGAGTTTCTCTATGCAATTAAAGAAAAGTGGAAAAGTTTTTGTTTCTTGTATTTTTGAAAACAAACGTGTAAAAATGTTGGTGCCCTTCAGTTAAAGGCAGAAAACCAGAATGGTCACTGAAATAATAGAAATACAGTGAAGATCAGACTTTCAACAGAATCATAAACAAGTAGCTGAAACCAGCCTGAGCAGAGCTTCGCCTGTTGGAGGACACGGTGACCAAGCGTTCTGACAATGGAAGCGTTTTTCAGGAGGTCCTGATCTAAAACACTCAGATTCACAAGTTGATTGTGGTCCTAACACGACATCTGGTCTGGGGGTCCTCTAGATGTTTCCAACAGTCTTGACCTGTAAAACAACCTCTGAACACTCGACCTTGGCCAAAATTGGGACCTGGGGGTTGTCCAGATGCCTCCAAAAGCTCAGGATCATGATCCACCCCTAAACATCTGCCATGGGCTACATAGACCTCCAAAAGCCCAGGATCATGGTTTTGACCTGTAGATCTACCTCTGAACATCCAACCTTGTCCAAAATCGGGACCTGGGGGTCCTCTAGAGGTTCTATAAGTTCTGATGAATTATAACAAAAGTTAGATTTCTGTCAACACCTCAGAGGAAATGGGTCGTCTTCTGATCAGAAACATTAAAATTTTAAATATTTACTCTGTTCTGAATTTCTGTCTGAACTTGAATGTTTGACTTGGATTAAAAACTGTTTCACAGAGAAACAACCAAAGGAAATGTTTGTCACACGTCCAACTCGTTTGCCTCATCAGTGGAATAATTGTTGCTGTAGAGAAAAATAAACCACGACCAACACATCCAACGTTGGTCTTTTTTGAAATTTCACAGATCACAAACTTTTATGGAATCTGCTGTAAATCTAGAATGGTCTAGTCCAGGTTAAGTGTCCTAGTGTTGTAGTTTTGGCACAAGGCCAGTTCCAATGTGGTCTAGGTGCTCACAAAATGCACAAATTTGACTTTTTGAAGTTTTACAAATCAGAAACTAAGTTTTATTGAGTCTGCTATTGGTCTAGAATAATCTAGTCCAGTCTTGAAGACTCTAGGTGTTGTAGTTTTATAATAGGAGTAGATTGTAGATGTGTTCTATTTTGCCTTGGCCCCAGGGGCGGCGTTAGGCCCGGCTACTTGGGCTGAAGCACCGAATGTTTCATGAAAAGCCCCAGATCCAAATCGCAGAAGTAACATGCAGTACCAAAGTCCAACAGAGAGGGAGCAGCTGGCAGTAGTTTGTATACAGCCTGCCTGAGCCTCCACCACTGAAGAAGAAGCCCTTCAGCAGCCGGATTCTTCTACACTCTCTGCCCGAAACGCATGAGTAAAGATAGACATGAGGACGTTTTTTGGACCAAAAGTACGGCGACAGAACCCCAGCTTTGATGAGACTGGTGCTGACTCAGGTTTGTGAGTCTTATTTGAAAATATTTGTTGTGCTGCTGGTTTGCCTAAAGTTAGCTTATCAGGTGAAGTTGTTGGAGAAAGAAAGGGAATATTTACTATCATCTCTCACTAAACACTAACAGGAACAATACTCTGCCCTGCAAATGCTTAATATGTAGCTTCAGATTAAAAATTATGTGGTACAAGATAAATATATATGATGTTGACTAGTGCGTGTCACGTGCGCGCGCGTGTGTTAAGCCCTGGATCTTCTTCAGTCCTAAATCCACCCCTGCTTGGCCCCCAAAATGTCTTGAAACGGCCCTGGGTGTGTGACTGAGTGTTGAAGGCGATCTGAACTGTATCAGATGTATAAATATGACATGTGTGTAACTTATTGTTTTATACAGGTAAAAACATGTAGTGGAGATAAATCTACCTACATTTTACTTTTCAACACTTTGTTTTCTTGTTTTTATTTAACTGTTTTCCTGTCCTGTCTGTCTCTCATTTTCCTGCATCTCCTCTAAACTCTCCAGAAAATCTGCTGCCTGGATTCTTATCTTTTCACCTCATCAGTTACTTCTGAGCAGATCAAAGGGATCTCCTGACCGCAAAGCGGAGAGCGCGTTTCGATGCTGCGTCAGTTAGGTGAAATCACCGCAGCACAGGTGATGAGCTCCGCAGTAGCAGAGCGCTTCAGGCACAAATAAGACAGAAAGTAGAGAACATGTGCGGACATGAACGATCGTGTGTTAATTATAGTTTTTTGGTTGCGCCACTTTGAGAATGGACCGTGTGCTGGACGCAGCAGCCTGGAGCGCAACGATCAGCGCTGTGCTGCTCTCTGTTCAAAAGAACACCCGGTACGCTGAGAGTCCATAAATGATGTAATATAGGTGGAAACGTTTTTTCCGGCTCCCCTGGATGTGTAGGATATCCAGCTCCCACATAATTCGATCCCTGCTCCTGGATGAAAAACCGGACATTTTCATCAATACAAGAACCCCGCCCGGGACGCAGAGTGAAAAGTGGACATGTCCGAGGAAAAGATGACATATGGTCACTCTATTATATAAAGGATGACCTAAATGAACACAAGATGGTGTTGATGGTCATTAATGATGGGATCAGCTACAATTGAAACAGCTCTTGGGCACGCCCACCTTCAAACAGCGCTCAAAGGAAGCTCACCACAGACCTTGACATCCTCAAACTGAATAAAGTAACAACACTCATCTTTTATTGTTTTATCAAAGTAAAACATAATTCCACAGCTAGTTAGTTGGAAACGCTGTTTCTGACTGGCGTATGCTCCTGATGCAGGGGGTTTCTATCAGCAGCACACCTGCAAATACCGGCATCAGTTCGGCCTGGCCGGTGTTCTGTCCAGTCGCAACACCTGTTCAAAGCAGAGCTTGTTTTGAAAAGCTTTCATGTCATTTTCAGTCGTACTCTAACAGTATAGCGGTGTCCGTGCTGCTCAGGAGTTGAAGACAAAGGGCGTTTCTCAATGTCGAGGCGCCGTGCTTACACAGCTAAATGGAAGACTTGCATCCGTGTGTGAACACTCAGTGGCCAGGGGTGCATCAACTTGTCAGACCCCACCTCCCTAGCACACACTCAAACTGCCTACATTCTCTGATCTCGTCCACGAGCGACTGTCTATCTTCCAGTGCTTGTTCTCCACCAGCTGCGTGTCTCTCAGTTTGACAATTTCCTGGATATCTCAAATTTCCTGGATATCTCATTAGTGTCATGCAATGTTCTCTGGGTTGTAACTGTAATCTTACCCCTGTCGGCAGATGTCAGTCTCTAGTGCCCCCCCCCCCCCCCCCCCCCGCCCCCAAATAATAAACTCATATCTACGCCCTTGCTTTCTCACCACTTTGGTATTAAAAGTTCAGGTTTTAAGCCCAAGGATAAAGTCTCAGCAGCCGTGTTTGCTCTATATTTTGTCTTAAGACACAAGTCTGTGTGTAAAGAAAAGGCAGGAAAAGTGCCAGAGAGAACGACAAACTCAGGTTTTCTGTTGCTTTTATTGAAAACATTAAAAAATGTTGCAGAAGCAGCGTGTTGCTGTTATCTGATCTTTCACATCGACACAAATTAGGCTGATAATGACATTTACACCAGGTGTCAGCACAGAGCTGAAGATCTACCGCCCCCCTGTGGCTGGGAGTGAAACACACAAACACTTCTGCTGATTTTTGACTTCATTGGTTTTAAAACTTGTAGTTATTTTTACATCACATCATCTCCCCAGTTTCTGAACTTTTAACAAATTCAGGAGGAAACAGCCGCGTCTGAACCAGCAGGACTCACACGAGGAAATAAAAACCAGAAAGAAACGTGAAAGGTGGCTAAAACCTTCAGGCTGTTCTAAAAAAGAAACCAAGTCTACAGCAGCGTCAGCAGGACTCGAGCCAACCCTGACGATGCTGTTTGGTTCTGATCTAATTGAGCCAATTTCCTTCTAAAGTCTCTAAACTGGAGTTGTATTATCCGATCTAATAAGAGATTAAAACAATAATTACATTAAATGCTAATTTTCAGGAAACAGGCGTTTTGTTTTTCTGATAGTCCCAAACCAAGCATGTCTGCATAAGCCCCCACAGACACAAAAGCTAAATATTCCAACAATAGACACAAAAATTTGGCCTTTTTTACTATTTGAGAAAGAAAATCTGCTCTTAATAAAATGAACAACTGACAAGACTAATAATCGGAGCTCAGCAATCAGAATCTTAAAAACAAGTGAAATAAAGGAAAGAAGAACTGAGGTGTTTGGGTGAAACCTTTAGAAACATTTTCTGCTGGTAACCAATGATTGTGAGGCGTTTAACGTCGTTGCCGTGCTAGCTTAAACCGCTAGTTCTCAACATACAATTTAAATCACATTTTACCATTTCCAGCATCGAAAACAGAATCATTCCCATCCGTTTTTAACGTCGGCGTGATTGTCGAGGATGCGTCGCAGGTTTTCCAGAACCTGATGACAGGAAATGAGCTGAACCTGGTGTTTAAAATCCTTTAAACCATTTTGAAAAGACCCCAATTAAACTTCCCCTTCTGTGAAAAATCACCAAATCAACTAGAATAAGATCAATCTCCTTGAGGATTGTTAAACCAAGGTTTCTGAGAACCAACCCAACATGGACCTTGAAACTTCAGATTTCCCACTAAACACTAAACTAACAAAAGCTTTAACCACCTCCCACGTGTAAACCAGGCTTAGTGTACTGGAATGCCAGAGATAAAAACTCTAAATGTGATGCTTTTATTCTGAAGGCTGCATAGCAGTGGACTAAAAACCAGCTCCTGCTACAAAAACTCTCCCTCTCCTGACCTGCAACACAAACAAGCATCTTTATAGGGATGGAAGCTGCTGCTGAGCTGTACCCCCCCCCCCCCCCCCCCGTGTTTATTATTAATAAACAAACAAACAAGAGAGGCTGATTTTTGTCCAGGAGTGTAACATCTATAACCCTTTTTTACGGTTTAGTTTAATAAAAAAGACAGAGGTAAGTCCTTGTAGTGTGGTGTAAAAGTAAGTACACCCAAAAATCCCGCCTCAGCTCGGTGACTGCTCTTAGCACAAGAGTCCCCAGCACACGTGTGTCCATCTGTTTGCTTCTACGTCATTTCCCATCTGACCTCGTGCCCTCACGACTTCCTGTGACGCAGCATCTCGGAGCTGCCATTCAGTTTGCTCCGACCGGACGGGGCGGCCGTGCTGCCGTTGCCCAGTGGGTGGTCCCAGTCGGCAGGCGTCTCCTGTTTGCGCCGACGTGTCTCCTTGTATCGGAGTGTGATGTCACTGTGGGAAGATGGAAGGAAAGACGTCACCGTTGGGACCAACTCTTTCATTCTTCCACTGAGTCTTATTGCTCAGCGGTTCGCAGTCAAGCGTGAAGCAGCTGGGATGAGAATCAGCTCCTCTAAATCCAAGACCATGGTCTTGAGTCGGAAAAGGGTAGAATGCCTTCTCCAGGTCAGAGACGAGGTCCTGACCCAAGTGGAGGAGTTTTACCCTGGTTTCACACTGAAAGCATCAGCAGCAGAACGTCACGGCTTCAAAAAGAATCCATTAGTTTATGGAGTTTTTCCAACCAGCAGCGACGGGGCAATTTACGCCGCGCCGCTAAAAATAGCATCAGGTTCAATTTTTGCTGTGAGCCACTTCTGGTGCACGTCAACATCTGCAGTTAACATAGGGCTAGACAAGAAATCACACACGGTTTCAGAGTAAAATTCCTGGTAATTTTCAAAATAAAAGTACAGCAGCGATGCAATTTCATGTATACGCGGCTTTCGTGTGACCTACTGGCTTATTTACTCCCTGCATCATTCCAAAAGTGCAGCACTGTGTTTTTCATTGCTTTAATTTAATTTCCATTTCTATGTAGAACAGGAAATACAGAGAGGTGTGGTTGACTAAATATTAAAATGGCTTGCCGTACGGGCTTGTTGTAGACACGAGAAACGTAGAACAACACAATATGAACCATCGTTCACTGGATTGTTCTAATATTACTGTTAAATCCGTTCAGTCAATAATGTAATCCGACTCATTTGGGGCTGATTTGTCTGTGTGACGATCTCTGAGATGATGATAGGTTGGGAGTGTTGCAACTTTTTTGTTGGCTGGCTCTGTAGATGGACGATCATCATTCTGAATTTTACTTTTAGCAGCTTTGGGAGTCTAAAATATCCCCTCCCAGAAGAGTTGAAGCACTTCCTAGGTGGAAACGGAGCAGTCCCGGTGGTTGTTGACGGAGCTAAAACCAGAATGGACATCTGTATGGCCTATACTCATCTGAAGGGGGCTGGGCTAATGGTTACCTGGATTTGTTGTTACAGAGCTTGTAAGTAATAATATTTTATGACCAACAATGTGGATCTTTTTACTTTGTGGCTTATTTAGTATCAGTTGGCTCATGTTAGCGTTAGCTCGTTGTTAGTTATCTTCAGCAGGCGAGTCCACAAAGAGGAACTTCTGACTTTTCTAAAGGACCTCAAAAATCTACTGATGATGCGAGAGTAGGGCTGGGCAATATCGCCTAAAATCAGTATCACAATATATTGAGGATTTCACCTCCATAACGATAAATGGACGATAACTACAGGTAAGTGCAGAGACAAAAGTTGTCCACTAGATGGGGCTGTCACATGTACCACCTTGAGCCATAGGCCGTGTTCGAGTTGAGCTGCGCCTCACCTGGAAAACAGATGAGAGCAGACGGAAGCAGCAGGGGGAGTGGCTGAAAGCCGGCGTTTAAGTCGGACACAATTTCCTACATGTGTAGCTCGGGGGTGACGATGGCTGAAGATATCCCGTTAGAGTTCATACTTGTTTAATTAATTATTTTAATTCTGGTGCCTGTTAGCAGCTGAAACACATCCTCACGTGCTTGTGGATATCATATATTGTATATGGAGACATGACTGTAATAATAAGTAAAGGTTATCAGCTGTAGCTTCAGTGTGCTCATAGGAAACATGTCAAAAGAACACAAAACACATTTCTCCTTGTGACCTATGTAGTTGTCATCATCAACGTTACATGATTTACAGAATACATGTGACCTACTAACATTTCATGTTCTACCACCGGATGTTTGGATCAAAATATGAACCAATCAGATCTTAGATCAGGTGAGAGCCAGGCGTTTCCCGTCATCCTCTAGGTTTTGCAGCCGGTGGAGAGCAACTGCAGCGCCTTGATCCAAAATCTGCGGCTGCCTTGATCTCACAAGGTTATCGTTGCCTACGTATGCATGACTTCAGAGCAAGTCGGCGTCAAGTCGGACACAAATCTAACCGGCAAGCACTGCTCGCCGATCACCGCTGGTCTAATCTGTGCAGAACTGGCGTATCTCGAACACAGCCATACTTTTACGTGACTCAAGGTGGTACAGCTTCTTAAAGGGACATGAACGTTGCCAACCTACACGCATCTTTTCATTTTATTATTATCAAATTTACTGGCATGGGAGTAATTATCCCGATAACAGTCAGAAATTTTAAAAACAATACATTTTCGATTTATTTATTCATCATCATCATCATCATCATCATCATCCGTTATTTATAAAGCACGTTTAAACAGCGACTACGCCAACCAAAGTGCTGTACAAGACGATAGGACACCAAACTAGAAGACAGCAGCATAAAATAGATAAAAACACTTCAAAACTAAAGTAACAGATCACCAAACTAGAAAACAGCGGCGTCATTAGACAAAAATAAGTAATAAAAAATAAAGTAAAAATAAATAATAATTAAAAAAACTTAAATAACAGACAAACTTAAGGGTTAAACAATCTCAGCTGGGTAAGCCAGGGAATAAAAATATGTCTTCAGACGTACTTTAAAAGTTGGAGGGGAGGGGGCAAGTCGGACTGTCAGGGGGAGTTGCTTCCAAAGCTTGGGTGCACAAACTGAAAAAGCCCGTTCGCCACGTGCCCTATAGCGAGCTGGAGGGACGAGCAGAAGGTGCTGGTCAGAGGACCTCAAGGTTCGCACCGGAACATAGGGGCTTAAAAGCCACGCCAAATGAAAGGGTGCCATTTAATGCAAAGATTTATACACCAGCAGTAGAATTTTAAACTTAATCCGAAACTGAACAGGAAGCAGTGCAAATTTGCCAAAACAGGTGAGATGTGTTGCCATTGGTCTGTGTTTGTTAGAAATCTCGCTGCAGCACTCTGTACCAGTTGGAGGCGTACCGTTGAAGAGGAGGGAACCCCGTATAACAGAGAGTTAGCATAGTCCAAACGTGACATTACAAACGCATGAACAACTTCATGTTACTGCCCAGCTCTATGCGAGAGGGATAAGAAAGGTGGACTCCTACCTCCCTAGGTAAACACATTACTGTAGAGGGGTGGGGAGGGAGGGAGAGGAGGAGGCAGGATAAGGCAGAAACAGATGTGTAGCTCAACGTTCTGCTGGGGTTTACAGGAACGCCACTCAGCAAAAAGATTCATTAATTAAGAGAAAATGAATCCACATGAGTTTCAGAATCTAAATCAGAACCAACGCTGCCCTCTTAGCCCCGCCCACTAACCATCTCTTACCGAATGAAAAACCTCCACACGGTCCAGATCAGTATGAGGAAGATGCCCAGGAACCAGCACTGCATGACAAAGAAGGGGATGGGCAGCATGAGTGTGTTGGGGTCGTACTTGACCACGATGAGGAACTCGGTCACAGTTATTGCTGCTGCCAGCCACGCCTGCTGGCCCAGCTTCTTGTGGAACTTCCTGTTGGAGACACAAAAAACAGAAAAGATGCTTTCACCGTACTCTGCTGATGAAAGGAGTTTCAGTTCTGCTGCTCACGGGTCATCCATGAAGTCATAGATCTCCCTCATGGCCACGCCTCCCACGTTGACAAAAAAGACGAGGCGAAGCAGCACCAGGTAGTGTTCTGGAGGCATCCACAGCACAAACTTTAGGTAGAAGGTGTTTAGCTCAGCCAAGAGGAACTGTCAGGGCAAGAGGAAACACACAGAATGTCGAGAGCCATGTAATGACTGCAGCATCTGAGAGCTTCTGGAGACAGTGTGTCAGTGTTTTTCTAAAGTTTTAATACCATGAAGATGATGCCCAGTACGGCGAGCCAACGGCGAAGGCTTGACGCTGGTCTCCACTCAAACTTCACCCAGCTGTATGGCGTGAACTGGAATGCTATTCGCTTTATTTTCCCTCTGTGAGGCGAAGAGAAAAGATCAATAATAAATAGTCTCTTTGGGCAATGTCCATGTGTCCTGCAGAGGAGGCTTAAGATGGTGCTTTGTCACGATGGAGACCCAAGTCTAAATCAGCTCCTGTAACTCCTTCATATTTCTCATTTGCAGTCGTCGTCGTCTTCCTCCGCTTATCCGGGTCCGGGCCGCGGGGGCAGCATCCCAACTAGGGAGCTCCAGACCGTCCTCTCCCCGGCCACCTCCACCAGCTCCTCTGGCAGGACCCCAAGGCGTTCCCGGACCAGATTGGAGATGTAACCTCTCCAACGTGTCCTGGGTCGACCCGGGGGCCTCCTGCTGGCAGGACATGCCTGAAACACCTCCCCTGGGAGGCGTCCATGAGGCATCCTGACCAGATGCCCATACCATCAACCATCATTTGCAGTCAACATGATTATTAAGGTTACCAAGAAAAAATGTGAGCATTGAGTCAATTTCATGACTTTTTACATGAAACGCTAGCCGTTACCATTCACTTACATTGTTTTTGCTAAGCTAAAGCTAACGGAAAACTACCAGATTAGGAGAACGACGTTTTCCCACTTATCCAACTCTGTGGGAATATGGAAATAGACTAAGTTTCCCTCAGGGTGGAATATCCCTTTAAATAAAGCTGATGTCCAACATAAGCCTTTAAAATCCAATATGGCTCCCAGGAAGTTCCACTGATAGCAGATCAAAGTGTATAATGTAGTAGTCGTACTTGTATGTAGGGATGTTCCAGAGGCCCTGCCACTGGTACGGCTTCATGGATAACCAGGCCAACGTCTTCATACCACAGTAGATCCCCAAACCGTTGCAAACCAACACATCCATGATCCACTGGAGGGAAACAAATGAATGAGGTCCAGCAATGCGTATACACAACCATGATCTACCTACATGGAGGTCAAAATAGAATTAAGCTGCTCTGCATCGTGTGAGGAAAACTAACAGCTCAGTATTCGTTTTCTAAATAGGAGTGAATTTTGTGCAAATTCTCTCATAAAAAAATCAGATTCACGCTGAAAACCAGTCTCCGTGGCTTCTTCAGTAAATACAGCTGAGGCTCGATTTTTCGTGTAACTGCTTGTCTCCAAGTCAGTTCCAGTTCTCAACTCTCGTTGGGAGTGTCTCACAACAGGCGTGTCGAGAAGGGACTGATTCTACTCACATGGTCCCACCAGCACTCTGAAAAGTTAGGCAACTGATGCTCCAGGCTGTACTCCAGGAACTCAAACATGACGCTGATTATCATACACATCCACCAGTCCCGGATCATCAGGGTCTGGAGACAAAGAACAGAGGTACAGGAGGCGGCTGCAGAGTGGGAGGAGGTCAAAATACAAGCAGAGATCAACGCTTTAGACTAAGTAAGTCTCTTTGCAGCGTTACAACTAAACACCAGTCCACAGTTATTATTTCTGACTCCTGATTTAGTCACATTTATTAATACAAAAACATTTTAACAGCCAGAAAAAACTGGCATCAAAGGGTTAGGGTAACCCTAACCCTGACCCTGACTGATTTCATGAAGCTAGATAGAAAATTCATGCGACTCCTGTGAAGCAGGCAGAAACAACAGTCTCGGCCTACCTTGATATACCACCCCAGGAAGTGAGCAGGAACAAATCCGTCCATCTTATCCTGCAGAGGTAAACAAATCTCCTCGTTTAACAACTTCTACCACATGTTCCTTCCTTCCTGTTAGAAATGATCACCAGCATGGTCTCAGAAAACAAATCTGCACTCAGGAACCCTCTCTGCACATTCCTACAGTGTCACAAAAACAATGACGAAAGGAAATGACAAGAGAACAATTAAACGTGCAGCTGGATCTGGACACATTTGTTAGGAAACAGATTCAGATCAGAGAACCTCTTCTGTGGGTTTTAACCCCACGAGACGAGTTTCCCTCATGTCTTTCTTCCCACCAGTGATGCGTGCGTGCGTGTGCGCGTGTGTGCGTGCGTGCGTGCGTGCGTGCGTGCGTGCGTGTGTGTGTGTGTGTGTGTGTTGGCTCACACTACCATGTTACAAAACACTTCTAAACCCAAACTCTCAATGTCCGTCCATTTCTACCACATGTCAAAGTTCAGGTTGTCAAGGCAACAGATCCAGGAAGAATGCAAAGCCATCCCTTCCCCCAGCAACACCAGGGATGTCAAACATGTGGCCCGCGGGCCGGATCCGGCCTGCAAGTGGGTTAAATCCGGCCCGCGAGATGGTTGTGTAAACTTTATTTTCCCACTTTACAATGTAGAGTGAAAATAAACTTATCATTGTGAGCAAGTTTTCTCTGTAATGAGTATAAATAAAACAAAGCTGCGCCCAAGGCTCACACAAGAACTTGAATCACATCCTGAAGTTGGCTGCCACTCAGGATGTGACTTCTGATATTGATGTGCTGGTGAAAGCTAGAAGATGTTAGGCGAAATGAGTCAAATATACTTTACATGCTGCATGAAACTGATCTAGCCATGTGATCTGTAAGCTCTTTGAATCACTAAGGAATTTTTTATTTTTTATTTATTGAACTTTTTAGTTTTTTCAAATTTTCAAGTACACTTCAGGTGATGTACTTGTACTATTTTGGATACACTGTCCTCAGGCTCAAGCTTTGTTTTATCTCGACTGTATTAAAACAAAGAAAACAATCTGAAATTGTTTTTAATTTACCGGTCCGGCCCACTTGGGACTAGATTTCCCTCAGTGTGGCCCCTGAGCTAAAATGAGTTTGACACCCCTGAGCAACACTCTCCAGCCCTACTCAGAAAGACCTGGCTGGGATCTCCTTCCATTGGCCCCATCCCTGCTGACTCCTGTTGATGAGGAGGAGCAGCGGTTCTATTCCAAATGGCTCGTCTCTCAATCTGAGGCCAGAAACCCTAAACTCTTTGCAACTGTTTGGATCCAGGCTGTTCGCTCTTTGGGTTTAGCTCCAAATGGCAGGATCATAAATGGATTGTTAAAGACGCGACTCTACCGCTTTATCTTCACAAATAATTCCTAATCAGAGCGTTTCCTCACCTACTTTCTCTCAGCAGCAAACACAGGAAATAGGGGTAGAAGACTACTTTCACGTTTAGCCTGCATGTTAAACTCTGAGTGATCAATCTTATTTCAAAATTTAACAAAACACAGGTTCTCAGTGAACTTGGCCTTTAATTTGAGAACTTGCTTGAGGCAGAAACTCACTCCCAACAAGGAGAGAGCATTCCTGCATCTTCCATTTAAGACTCACGACCTCGGACAACCACCCCTCACAGGGAATGAGCTCCACTTATGGAGGTTTTCCATCAGCACCACTCAAATCCACTCGGCCCGCTTGGACAGATTTCCCATCAAGTTGCCTCTGACAACCTGCTTGGATGTGGTTTTCCGAGCCGAGCCAAAAACATGATGTCAGCCGCCGTCGGACCCTGATTGGCTAGGGGGTGGAGTCACAGGGGGCTCCAGAGTTTTCCGCCTGCTGCCTTTTCCAAGGCCAGTGACTTGGCAGAATGTTCAACACCACCACTGAGTCCGCCGTTGTCGTTTCTGCGTGACATGCTGAAGAGCGGTTACACCTGGTCATCATTAGGTGGACAAAGGTGTGGTTTGACCCAGTCAGAGAAGTTTCAGGACAAGGACGCGGAGCCGGTTGTGTTTATAGACTGGAGTTTGCTCTCGACTCCAGCAGCTCAGACTGAGGGGATGCGATGTTGTAAAGGAAAAGAAAACACAAAGTGACACAGAAAAGAAAAAAACTAAGGTAGAGGGCCATGGAAAGAAAAGACAAGCTAAAGGACAGTGGAACATGTAGGACAGACAGCTGTTTAGGTGTAGAGTGTGGTCATTTCCTTACAGGAGTCAGGTTATGTGACCTAATAAACCACTACGATGCACAAATGAAACACGCTTCAAGTAAAGAATGCAGGAAATCTGGGTCAAAAATGTACAAAAACTCTTAGGTGACGGAAATAAAAAGTGTTTTCTTACCCAGATGTTGTGAAAGGGGTCGGTAGTGTTCCCCGGGTCGTATATGAGACAGTTCCCTCCATAGTCACGCTCAGGGAGGGGCACCCCAAGATTTGGGTCGATGTACTTCATAAACTGGCGTCCATCGTGCACCGTCTGAGGAACGGGATGGAGATTAGTATTCTGTACGTTTTAGGGTTGTCACGGTAACCGGTGTAGCAGTAAACCCCAGTAAAAAAGTTGACAATAATAATAACCGTCTTGTTTTTAAAAAAAACTAAATTATTAGATGGGGTTTGTGTCGTCTGACACCTGTACACACTGCACAAACAACATTTCAGACAATTACTTTCATGCACTGTGGTCCTGCCCACCTGTCCAGGAATTTTGGGGTAGAGTATGTGAGGATCTGTCAAAATGTCTGAAATGTCATATCCCAACTTCCCACTCTCTTTGTTTACTGGGACAGCTGCACGATGTCCCGATTGCAACATCTTTGGTTCACGTGGTTCTGACTGCCATATGCATCGCTAAGAAAACTATCCTCTTGAATTGGAAAAATAGAGAAAGTCTCTGCATTAACCAGTATAGAAATCTTTTGTTAGATCATATTGCACTTGATATAACCTCTGCTTCCACTTCAGATGAATCTCTCTGGGCTCCTTTGATCGGTTCCATCACATAGCGAGGGTGGGGGGCCATTGATGTTGTCCTGCGGGATGGTGTGGGTGGGTGGGTGGGGGGGGGGGTGGGGGGGGGGTCTGAGTTTGGAGTATCCGGATGTTCCCTGGAGGTGGGTTCACTGGGGGTGTCTGGGACTGGGGGGCTGTTGCCCCCCTCTGGAGGTGCTTGGGTTGCCTCGGGGGGTGGACTGCTGGCGGTTGTGAGTGGGGCCCCTTGGGGATCTTGGCGGCGGCCATGGGTCACTGCCTGACGGCTGCAATACCCCTGGGCGGGTCTGGGTGGGGGCCTGGGGGCTCGGGGTTTGGGGGTGGCCGGCCCCATGTGGGGATCTGGGCGGGGCCTTGGGGGTCGGGTCCTGACATGTATGCTGCCGGGAAGAAGGCAGGAACACTCAGCAGTGCCTGGCCCGGGTTCGGGGGCATCAGGTAGACCTTGGCTCCTCTGCCGTTCCATCACAGGGGAGGGGGAGGTCCAGGAGGGGGAGGACCCAACCTTACCTGGATGTCCCATGTCTTCTATATTCTGGAAGTTGTGCAAATGCAGGGGTGGGCATAGATATTCTGCTGGGATGGGGCTGGGTTGGTGCCCTCGGACTCCGTGAGGCTCTGTAATGCTGCTGCTTTGGGCCCTGGCAGGATGGGCTGGGGTCTCCATGCCCTGGGTGGCAGTTTGACAACAGAGGTGCCTATTGGGGCCAGTAGGGGAGCTGGCTCCCTGGAGGGCTAAGCCCAACCAGCCATTCCTCCCCATCCTCACATATTTCTCTCCTCCTGCTCCCTCACATCATCACACAAACATACACATAGGACCTTGGGGGGTGGGCAAGTCAGGGAGTGCAGGTATGGACCCCATTTCCGCATTCCTGTGGCAACCTGCCCCCCAATTTTATTTGCACCTTATACACTTCCACTGACGACATTCCACACAAACACACACTTAGGGCCTTGGGAGTGAGCACATTCAACGGCATTTGGCAGGGGGATATTTCAGCCTCCTCCCGAGTGCCGGTGCCCACTTCCAATTTTAAACCGCACTTAGACACTGATGGCTGAGGGTGTAAGTGGGGTGGTGCGGTGGCATCAGCTGGCATATGCCGGATGATGCCCGCACTGCCCACTCACCACAGCCATGGAATACACCTCATGATCACACAACACTATATTGGAGCAGGTGGAGGGAGACTAGGGGTCTTTGCCACCTCTGTTGTTGCTTGGCTTCCTGGGGCTGGAGGCTAGGAGGGAGATCTGGCCGTCTGGTTGGGGTCTGGGGTGGTGGGTTGCTGTGCTCAGCGTTGGGCGGGGGAGCCTGCTCATCAGCACCCCAGCAGAAAGGGTCAAACTCTGGTTACCGGTGATGGTTGTACCCCATGTGCAGCAGTACCGGGACCAGAGTTAATAGGGTGTGTATGGGGAGCATGAGTGAGTGTCCGGCGTGTATTTTTGTAAGTCTTGGGTTGTATGTGTATGTGTGAGCATGAGGGAGGGAGTGTGTGACTGTGTTTGTGTATGACTGTATATGTCAGGTGGGGCCTTTGGGTCCTCCCCTCTCCTGGAACTTCTCTTGATGATATAGATCTTTGTCCCCCCTCCCCCTGCCACACCTGGTGTGGGGGCTTGTGCCATGGTCTGCCTGAGTGTTCGTGGCAACCGGGTCTGGGGGTTTAAGATTTTGGCATCTGCCTGATAGATCCCGGTGGCTGCCTGGTGGGGTCTGGGTCCCTGGGCTCTGCTGGGTCCCCGGCGGGGGTGGTCACCCCTGGGTCCCGGGTCGCTGGGTCCCGGGCTCGGCCGGCTAGGGGGTGGGAGGCTGCGGGCGGGCCTGTGGGCTTGCCGCTGATATCTCCAGGGACTCTGCCGGCTGCTGGTTGTGGCCCCCCGGGGCGATCCTCTGTGCCTCTCGAGGGGGGCGGGGGCCTTTCTGGTTGCAGTCTCCTTGGGGTTCCTGCATTCTGGGGCAACGCCTGGATCTCTGGGACTTGGAGCTCCCCCCGTCTCCTGCACATCTTTGGGGGGCGGATCTGTGGTCCCTCACACTCTCTGTTGGACGCTCCTATAGAGAAACCTTACATAAACAAGCGCGTGTACACATACAGGTGCTCACATGGTGCTCTCAAAAGTATGGGCTTGGGCACGTTCAACACATGTCTTAAGACTATGGTGGGCACTTAATGCATTGTGATTTATTATCGTGATTCTTCAGTTAAGCAATGTTAATTATATATATATATATTGTTTTTTTTTGTTTTTGTTCATCAAGTTGACGCAGTGATAGGTAGATCTTGTTGTATTGTTGTTGTGTCCCTTTTTTGTGTCCTTTTGCTTTTGTTTTTTTTGTCTTTTTCTGCAGGTCTAGAAGCAGACTCTTGTTCATTGTTTATTTTTGTGGAACCCCCCCCCCCCCCCTTCCTCTCTCTCCACCTTTTCTCTTCCTTTCTCTTTCACCTCTGTCTCCGTGTCTGGTCGGAATTACAAAGCATTCAACAACAATAACAATAAAGTTTTAAGTATCAGGCGTGACATTAAAAGCAAACGCTTTGATGCTCCACCTGAGAATAAATCTGTAAGGCTTGTCACCAGCATTCAGACATCAATTCTGCTTGCTTCACAGCCAGACAGGACACGGTAAAAAAAAAAAAAAAAAACTAAATTATCTCGGTGGATTACCGTGGCTGCGATGTAGGCGCGGTGACCCTTACCAGCCACCGTATCATCTGCAGAAGTTGTCGGCGGCACATGCGCACTTTGTTGTTTACAACCAAAACTTTCTTGAAGCTAAAGCTGAAATAATGGCCAAAGGAGGAGACGGCAGTGCTCAGGAGGACATTTATTATCCCTCAAAGAAGACAGAGTGGGAAGTACGGGCATCTTTTGGATATTTGAAGAATGCCGAGGGACAGTTGATCGAAGACGGCTATCCTGTTTGCAGCACGAGCAGAAAAAGTGTCTGTGAAAGGCAGCAACGATTCAAATCTCACGACACATCTGCGTGACCATCACCCACAACTCTACAGTCAACGCAAGGCAAGCTAACGTTAGCGTTTTAGCTAAAATGCGTGATCCGAGGATTTGGGTTGAGGGAGAATGCAACGAGTCGCTATATAAAGCAGCCGCAGCGCCGCTACCTACATATAAACCGTGTCGCGGACACCCCCATGTTGAAATGACGCTATGCATTACGGGGCTCCCCGGGTAGATAAGAGTTGGTCTCTCTCCGAGAATAATTATGAATTCAACAACGATTACTGCCTGATGACATTTTCCCACATCTGCAAAGCTCACTGGAAGGACACAAACCGAGGACAATATTTTCCTGATATAGGGTTTATTACTCAAGTAAGGGTAAAAAAGTATCTGATTAGAAGGCTACTTGAGTACTGAGTGTCATCTGATCTAAAATTTTTAAAAGGATAACATCAAGCAGACATAAAATAAGAAGTTATGGGTAAATATTGGTATTTTAAAGACTAAAGGGAAAAAATGCAAACAAATAAACAACATGATTACAAAATAACACATTTTAGGCAAAATTTAGACACAAACTGAGGACAATATTTCCTGACATACAAGGTTTATTTAATTGTGTGAAAATGTAGCACGTTTAAAAAAAATACAGCGATAATACCGAAAACCGTGATCATTTTGGTCACAATAACCGTGAGGTTAAATTTTCACACCGTGACAACCCTAGTACGTTTAAAAGGTGTTCCTCTACTGGGTGGATGATCTGAACCATCGTTCCACATAACTGTCAATCGTTCTGGTGAAGCTCTCACGCAAGGCCGTGCTGTTTATGTGTGGAGCGATACGCCTTCGTTCCTCGCCATTCTCACCGAGCTCTACTGAAAATGGCTGAAAGTTGCAAGAGGAAAAAGTGTCTTTGCCCCCGTCGCCGGTTTTCTGCTTGACGGGTGAGCTCAAGTTCAGAAAGTAACTTCAGATCACTGCTAGAAGAAGTGCTGCAATGCCACCAGCTACTTGGAAACAGAGTGTGGATTTTTTCTAAACGCGCTATACCTTTAATCTCTCTCTTCCATTCCATTATTAAAAACCGTTCTATCGTGTTTTAATGGAGTGGTCCTCTCACAGAGGAGCAGCGGAACACTGAAGCAGCTGTAGATGTTTTTCAATGATCATTTATAAAAGAGTTACTTCTTCTAATTACTTCGTCTGTAAAAGAATCTCTTTGCATCTGAACTTTATATTTCACTAAACTGGTTTATTATTTATTATTCTAATTTTATTTTAGTTAAAACAGACTAAAATAAGTTCAAATAAAATAATAGTTTTAAGGAAATAGCCTGAAAATGATGCATTAAGAATATAAAAAAAAATACTACATACACCTAAAAAACATGTTTATTTACTCATTAATTCATTTAGATTTTTAAATATGTAGTCTGGATTTTTGCCAAACTCAAACCAGTCTGCATGTAAAGTCTTAACCATCTGCATGTTCAGTAACGAAGGGTCTTCTCTGACGTTTCAATTAAAAACGGATGAGAGGAAAGAGACTTCCTGAAAATCGTTGCAAAAAAACAGAAACTGGACCAAAACCTGGACTAAAACCGAGCTGAGGCTGGATTATAAGTGTGTGTTTCGGTTGGCCTTCATTCATAGATGTGTGTAAATAATACACACAATCTAAGATTTTAACCAAGGCATCCGTGAGTTTCTAACTGTGGGAATTATGAAGACTCACCTGAAACAGGATGAAGATGAGGAACAGCTCATAGACGACGGTCACACACAGCCAGAATCGCCAGTAAGCTGCAGAAAAAACACAAATGAGAGTGACTGACTAACAGCAGCGCTGCGTGACTCGACCACTGACACGGTTTGCTCTGCAACGTTGATGTTTTATCTCCAGAAATGCCACAAGCCTGGAGGAGTTCTGCTGTGTGATGGGGTTAACAGTTAGCTTCTGCTAGCCAAGACGTTCTCTGCTGTTTTCTGGACGCAAAACCAACAACAGCCTTCCCTGTTGTGAGTCAAGACGGGTGACTCCATGAATGTTAGTGACGGTGTGACGTAGATCTGTCAGGATTTTCTAATCCTAGAGATTCACCGTCTGTTTTCTATCAGAAGCTAATGCAGGTTATGGGTGTAGGAGACTATTTTCATGTTCACCCTGCATGTTAAGCTCAAGAGTGAATGATAATTTTCAAAAGTAAGTCAGAGATGGACCTCTTTAAACCTCCCCCATAAGGAGTGTCCTTGATTTGTCTTGTTAGTTGGTGAGGTCAGATATTGTGGCACTCCCAGACAGGTTACACACCTGAAAAAATCCCAGGATACAAATCTGTTGAAAAACAACCGAACAACAACAGAACCAAACTGACTCGCTCAACAGGTTAGAGGATGTGATTCATTCAGTCGATCAGATACAAACCTGCAAATCAGGGCGGCAGACACCACAAATCATGTCCTAACGACTAGTCTGAGCAACAACCAGCACCTGTCCTCCACCCAGAGTCTCCGTCTGTCCTTCCTTTACCTCCGAGGTCAGCTGTGAGCAGTGAAGGGAATAACGCCGTTTAAAATAACTAAAAAAAAATTTTTTCCAGTAACAAGCAAACTAATTAATTACCGTCTTCTTTTATCAAAACGTAGTTTCTGTTACTGGTAAGGAAATGCGTGCATTAAGCAGCGCGGTGTGTTGAAGCTGTCATCAGCTGATCAGGAGCTAAAGAGGCAGATGTTTTCATCCAAGCGCATCACGGCCCGTGAAGAACGAGGAAGACGTGATGAATAGTCTACGGCTGCAGGTGTGGATCTGCAGCCGTGCCCTTCTTAGCGTGACAGTGGGACGTCCCGAAGGTCCGCTCACCTGTTCACCGCTCAGACGTCCTGATCTTCTGCCTTCCTAGATCATCCAGCTGTAACCTGTTTCTGATCATGTCTTTAGTCCCGCTGTAACACTGATGCATCAGTCTCAGACGTCATGGAGCTCAGGTGTTATTAGAACTACCCGTGTGTGTTTACCACCCAGCTTCAGCTCTTCTGTGGTTGGGTCTGACCCAAGTTAGTAAATGTAAGTCCTCCATCAGGCTTGTGCCTCTTCTGGTGTCGTTTTAAAGGATATTTATTTATTTAACCGTTACTAGATTACCAGCAACAGAAATGCTGCTAAAAACACACAATTATGTGAAGTTGGAAAAATTAAAATGCTGTACAAAATTACATTTATTTCTGTAATTTATCTAGACTGAGAGACCATTTAAAGGCTCGGGAACCTTTACAGGTGTTTCTATTTGCAATTTTAAATGTTAGCTGATTGGGGTCTTGTTAAATATCACACAGTGACCTTTTAATAGTCTAGATAAGTGTAATGTTCCTGCTAGTAGTTCCTCCTGTTAAGTGCTTATTTGTTTAAATTATTCAGGTTTATAGAAAACATTTTGACACACATTTTGTTATGTTCCAGTCACGAGTCATTTATATTTCACTATTGTAGTCATTTATAGTAAATTAAGTAAGTTCAATTAACCCATTTTTCTTGCATTCTTTAATGAAAAAAATAACTAAGTAGTTATTTTTCTTGGTAATTAGTTACTTTATAATCTCGTAGCTCTGTAAGTAACTGAGTTACTTTTTCGACAAAGTAATTAGTTACTATAACTAATTACTTTTTAAAAGTAACTGTTGCCTTGCAGCAAGAAGGTCCTGGGTTCGCTTCCCGGTCTGGGATCTTTCTGCACGGAGTTTGCATGTTCTCTCTGTGCATGCGTGGGTTCTCTCCGGGTACTCCGGCTTCCTCCCACAGTCCAAGAACATGACTGTTAGGTTGACTGGTCTGTCTAAATTGTCCTTAGGTGTGTGTGTGTGCATGATTGTTTGTCCTGTGCGTCTCTGTGTTGCCCTGCGATGGACTGGCACTCTGTCAAGGGTGTACCCTGCCTGATTGCCCATTGACCGCTGGAGATAGGCACCAGCCCCCCTCCGCGACCCTGCGTGGACAAGCGGGTTCAGAAAATGGATGGATGGATTTCTGACCCAAACTGTAAATCTTCTAGCTATTTTGAGTCTTGAACTTAGACCCCAACAGTCACAGCCTACTGAGGTACTGGCTCATACTATCATCTTAAAATAAACCAAAAGAAACCGATGTTATGAGCTAAATATGAGACGACCTTTAGGGCGGTCCTGCTTTGACACATAGGCTGATGAAGGTAGCTTTCATACCTGGGTGTGGTCTGGTGAAGGGTCCGTCTTTAGCCTGCGTTACTCCAAAACAGAGAAACACCAGGATGCTGGCAACGATGCCTCTAAAGGAGACCAATCACAAACAGACACCATTACGTTTTGTTTCATGTATAAATAATAAGTTTAAATGTGCAGAAAAACTGTTTGTATAAATCTATTAAAAACCTTCAAAAACACAACATCTGGGTTCAGACAGTGGGAATTAGAGGTGCTGAAAAAAACTGTTTCAAGTCTGAATCGGGATTCTTCATAAAGATTCAGAACCGAATATATTTGGCATGTTGCAGGTTTGAGATGCACTTTTTAAATCTTTGTTAGGAGAGTCAGTACTCCGTTTACTTTTGTGGTCCCATAAACTGGGATGATTTATGTTTGAATCTGCTGATAAGAGGGCACTTGAATGTAATTTTTTCCATACTCAGAAATTTGAGATATTCTCATATTTATTTTCTAAGTTGATAAACGAGTACTCAGGATTACTCATGTAACTTGTTTCTACACATACGTGAAACGTATTTGACCGTATTACTATCAAAGCTACTGTTAGGTAACTACAGATTGGTTATATTTTACAAGGTAAGCAAAAATAAATGTTGCCTTTTGGTCAAAAGATTGTTTCGGTTTACAGTTTTAGAATCACTTTAGTTTACCTTGTAAATTTGCATTTTTGGAGCATGACCGGTTTAAAGTCTAATAAAAATGTCCCGTAGCTTTAACTAACTTGTGCAACAAAGTAGTTCATCCTGGAGCTGACACTCTTTGTTAATACCGATTGTGAATCGATTTAAATTGAGAATCGATTCTGAATCGAATCAGCACCCCAAGAATCGAATCGAATCAAATCGTGAGTTGCTCTAAGATTCACATCCCTAGCGGGAATGCTTTGATTCCTTCTCTGATCTAAAGGTCTGTTTCAGCAGCTGGTTGTGATTAACAGCTTATTATAATTTGCTTTGTGTTTATTAGAAATGCAGGTTAATCTGAGCTGATAGCTGTTTAATACCAGGAATAAATTCTGATCTGAACTTGTAAAAAACAAGACCAGGCATTTACTACATTGAAGACGTGTTGGTGAGTGCAGGAACTATTGATCATTTTATAAAACAGCCCGAGAACTAGAACGTAATGGTGAGTAAAACTCAACGAGGCTATCTGAGCTGCATGAACAGTGCAGAGAGTGTGCACTAGAGATCCAGGGTATGCATCCTGAGTCGGACTGCACTGACAGCAGCAAATCCTGTTAAGAGCCTTCGTTCTACTTCTCAGACAGCAGCACACACACTCTCACAAACACACACGTTACCGACAATCCCAGTCAATAAGTCTCCTAAACACACAGCCACCATTACACAGACTTTGAAACCTTAAAATAAAAAATAATCTCAGCAGCTCAATAAGAGAAGCTGTGGGGCAGTCGCATGTAGCGCTGCAGCTAGAACCCAATCAGAACCAACAGTGGCACGGCTAAATTAGACTCTGTTTGCCCGTCCTTAATGCGAATCAGCAGAAACGCTACTATCATGTGATGTAATTAGCTACCGATGTATTCTGCAGCATGGCACAGTCAAGCACGAGGACAGAGTTCTGCAGCAAATGATCTACTCAGAGGAGATGTTTTTGGTTTCTGCAGAGCTCCTGGTTGGCCTTCATCCTCTTCACACGGCGGTGAGAGCTGTTGACAAACATCAACGTCACCGAGTCTCTTTCTGGTTTTGGCACCAACCAGACAAACTAAATGACTTGCAAGTCTCTTGGCATTTCTCCCAGTACCCATGACGGGTCTTCGTGCTAACTACTAGCAAGAATGTTTTCTCTTAAACAGAAGAGGAAAAAAGCTTCATTGGATTAGCTGATCTTTTTGAGGTCGACGTTTCACCTTTTATGTAATTACATTCCAGTCCGAGACCCAGCCGGGCTCCACGTGCTGCTGCGGCTGCTACACGTTACGCCAACACTGAAGATGAAATAAACCAAGAAGGTTTGGTGCCTGCAACTGTTTGTGTGTAATGTCCAAAAGCATTTACCACCACACGGTGAAGCCTCAACAATAGTAACCATTATACAAAATATATCAGCGGTGTGTTAGCGATAAATGTGGTGATACAATACATACAATATATATCACAATATGCGGGAAACGATACGAAATGATGCGTATTTGTTTATTCACGTGACAGTGATTGTAATCATCTCAGAAGCGTACCTGTGTGTAATAACGTAAAATCAGCTTTAATCATTTTCATTTTATAAAATTTGCTGATTTTAGAAGCATTAATGCCAGTATATCAGCAAATATCGGTTATTGGCCATAACAGTGATACTAATATTGGTATCGGCCCAAAAATTCCATATCGGTGCATCACTAGGAGGAAGGGATGATTTTCAGACAGAAGAACAACAGTTGCTATAAAAATGTAAAAATTTAAGCCTATATAAAGAAACACAGTAGCTTGATGCAGCATCAGCCAATCAGAGAGCTCCAATTTCTCGCTTTGATGAGCCGAGCGGTGCGGCAGCAGGAAAAATGCTGCATGCAAACTAAAATATGTAATCCTGACCGACCTGAGACAAAAACGAGTCGATTTGAAGTGTTTTTATTATTTATGACTGTGCTTTTATTCTATCACCATTGTTGCACTGGCTGCTGGTTTTGGACTCTTTATTTTTTATTTCTGAATAAGATCAGCTCATTATTTAAAAACAGGACATTTGGACCCCGTGGACAAACATCTGCCATGCCCTGACTGTTCAGAACAGACGAGCTCAGTGTTTCTCTGCTGGGCTGCTACGTTTAAGGTGGAATGAGTTTTCGTTCTTCCTTTAGGGCCCTGCAGGGCGTTGACCTGGTGGACAGAGAGGGAGAGACGAACACATCCTACTGACCTTTTGGTGTTGTAGGCCGTGTCCTGAGGAGTCTCTTCCAACAGCGTAACGTAGACCAGCGCACACGTCAGAATAAACAGCACCGTCAGAGTGTGGGCTCGCCTACAGGTGAAGGAAACAGAGAGAATGATGATGTTCGTAAAACTCAAGGTATCTACACCAGAGAGAAGCTGCTGCGTTACCACGGTTTCACCAGCTGATCTGCCTGATGGTTCAAAGGGAGCTGGAGATGAAATGAGCACACGAGTGCTGACTCCATGGGACCAGTGTGTGTGTGTGATATACTTTAGCGCATTTTCTTGTAGCCATTTAGTTATTAAAACTTGTGTGTCTGAATTTGTTCAGACTCTTAAGGAGACGTGTTCTAAACGGATTCCTGCAACGCAGCACAACGGCTTGTGAGGAAACCGTTCACAGTTTTAGAAACGTTCCGTTTACACTTGGACTGGTTCTAGCAGCCATTCACTCAAGGACAGATCGCTAATATCTTTGATGAGGCTACAAATGTAGCATCAGTCCTGGACGTGGTGTCATGGCCATGAACGCAACATAGGTAGACGGGTTACATTTGGTACCTAAAGCCTGACAGCAACTCCTAATATTAGTAGCTTAGACTACTGTAACGCTCTTTTTACTGGTCTCAGCAAAACCTCCCTCTCACGCCTTCAAGCCATCCAAAATGCAGCAGCCAGACTCCTAACCAAATCCAGCAGACGAGCTCACATCACTCCAGTTTTACAGTCCCTCCACTGGCTCCCGGTAGAATATAGAATACAGTTTAAAGTTTTAGTCCTGACCTATAGAGCTCTTAACAACCAGGCTCCAAGCTACCTATCTGAGCTTTTATCCCCACACACCACCTCTCGGAACCTCCGATCCACATCTGAAAACCTCCTGGCTGTTCCTCGAACCAGACTGAAAACCAAAGGGGACAGGGCTTTTCAGACTATTGCACCCAGACTTTGGAACAGTCTGCCTTCAAATCTCCATCTCTCTAACACTGTAGAGGTCTTTAAGAATCATCTAAAAACTCACCTTTTCATCCAGGCCTTCCCTCCCTAAATGTTTCAAAAAGATGGCTTTGTTCGGGTTCACACCTTCACTGTGTTTATACTCATGATTTTATTTTCTATTTTATCACTGCTATTGTTTTTCTGATGTTTTTATTGGTTAGAGGTATTTGCCCTGATCTTACTCATGTTGAACAGCGCTTTGTGATTTATATCTGTGAAAGGCGCTATATAAATACACTTTTACTTACTTACTTACTAATATTCAAAAACCATCGGGTTGAGCTTTTAGAAGTCAATGTGTGCGTTTTGCTGTTTTGACTTGGAAACTGAAAGGAGGAATGAATTCATGCTGGAGGAAGCAACTATTTACAGTTAAACACTATTATTGTTTACAGGAAACTCCTCCTTACCCATAACCAACGGCCTTTTGGGATTGTTAAGAGTGGGGTTATAATCTGAGGCTCCTTCACGTTGCAGCATAACAACATGCATAGTCCATCAAACTAAAAAATCTCAGCAAAGTCGGAGTCATGACAACATGCCAGGCTGTTGTTAGCACTTTCTCCTCGATCCACTTCCTTATCCAACCTGTTTAGCAGGAGGATGAGGGGAGGGAGCCTGGTTTCTCCCTTGCCTAACAACACACAACAACACTGAGCGTCCTGTTCACTTGGATTAGAACAAAAGGTTCAGACAAATCGAATGACTTTGCTTTTATCTAGGAGGTTAGGATAGGAGATGAAGATCTGCAGAAAAAGCCTAAAACAGAGTCTGAGCACCTATTGACTTGGATAAATCAAAATAAATCAATGAACTACTTTTGTGTAACTTAGTTCTGAGCTTGTGCAACTGACCACAACTTCACATTTGTGTGGTTGGAAAAGGGAAAAGAAACTAAGAGGTCCAAACTGGTTCTGCTTCCTCTGACTGAAGAAATTTCTCAATTCAAATGGGCAAGACAGGCTACCTGCTCCACGTTTGCCTCCATACAAATATGTGAAGCTGAGGAAATCATATTTAGAGATTCCTACTGCTGTCAGACATCTGCCAAGAGCAGCTGTGGGTTTTCACAACTACCAGTAGAATCCTTAAAACTTCACTTGCATAATACTATTTGTGTTTATACTGACAGCCATAACAGGACAGCAGCTCCAATGTTCTACAGCCGTTTGATCCAAGTAGGGCCTTGTGATCTCTGCATGAACGCATAAAACTTAAAAAGAATAGAAAGTCGTGGGATTGTCCAAAGGGGTTCGAATGAGGGCAACTGGACTTCTTCGGCTTCTTGAAGACACCACTTCTCATTCAGGGAGCTTTGTCAAGTCTGACTGGACTGGAAGGCTGCCTTTCCGTGTCTTGGCCCTTCACTTGGTCAGATTATCAATGGGAGCCTCAGCACAGGTGTGGTCCCAGCTGCTTTGAAGCAGCAATTGTTCGGCCGACCCTGAAGAAACCTGGTGCTGATGTCTCTGTGAAAGAAAAGTACAGGCCTATCTCTACCCTGCCTTTTACATCTAAACTGCTTGAGAAAGTTGTTTATCAGCAGCTGGTCTCACATTTAGCTGACTGTTTGAGGTTTTCCTATCAGGGTTCAGGTCAGGCCATAGCACAGAGTCTGCTCTACTGAGGGTCCTTAATGACATCTATCTATCACTAGGTCAGGGTACATCTGTGGTGCTTCTGTTGTTAGACCCGACAGCAGCCTTCGACACAGTTGAACACGTGATTCTACTCGATCGCTTGGAACGATGGGTTGGGATCAAAGGGTCTGCTCTGGACTGGTTTAGATCGTATCTCCAAAACAGGACATTCTGTGTTAAACTGGGTGATGTTTTTTCTTCTTGGGAGGGGCTCCGCTGGGGGGTCCCGCAGGGATCGATCCTTGGTCCTCTTTTGTTTACTATTTATCTGCTACCTCTGGGGTCAAGTGGCCCTTCATTACATCTCTATGCTGACGATTGCCAGATTTACTCTCCATTGTGTCAGGAGAAAGGACACTCTATCCAGTCCTTTGTGTCCTGCATTAACGAGGTGAATTCTTGGCTAACGGCCAACTATCTGCATCTGAATGAGGGAATTGTTTTTCACCCCAACAGCAGGAATGTGGGTCGTCATGTTGATCTTGGCCCTCTTTCTCCCTACTCAAAACCAGTTGTTACCAGTTTGGGAGTGAAAATTGACGCTGGACTTAAATTTGATGCTCACATCAACTCTGTGATCCGGTCCAGTTTCTTTCACCTGAGACGCCTTGCAAAAATCAAGCATATGGTGTCAAGAGCCCACCTGGAGCGGGTACTGCATGCCTTTGTAATTTCTAGGCTTGATTACTGCAACTCTCTCTATGCAGGGTTGTGTCAGTCATCACTGCGTCGCCTACAGGTTGTGCAGAACAGCGCAGCCAGGTTCCTGACTGGGACCAGGAAACGGGACCACATCAGTCCGGTTCTGGCCTCCCTGCACTGGCTTCTGGTTTGTTATCATTCACACTTCAAACTCCTCATCTTTGTCTACAATTTCTTCCAGAGTAATGCTCCCCCCTATCTGGCCACACTCCTGAACAGACATTCCCCATCACGCGCTCTGCGCTCCTCTGACCAAGGCCTGCTCGCTGTCCCTCGTTCTAGGTGTCGTACTCGCGGGGACCAGGCTTTATCTGTCCTACCACCGTCACTATGGAACCAGTTGCCACCCTCAGTTAGGCTGTCCCCATCTCTGCCAGTCTTTAAGAGTCGCCTAAAAACCCACCTCCTCCGCTTGGCGTTTCCTGAACGTGTTTGAATTTGGCCCTCTTTTATGTTGATTTTATCTCACAGTTTTCATTGGTTCGCTCTATCCCTTGTTTTACCCTTTGTCTTCTACTAGAATGCTTTACCTTTTTTTGTAATTTGTAATTTGAACTGCTTTTATTTTCGATTTATTCACCATATTTAACTTTGTCATGTACTATGTTCAGCGCCTTGGGCTACCCGACAGGGTTGCGGAAGGTGCTATATTAATAAAGCTTTGATTGATTGATTGATTGATGGAGGGTCAAGTTTATAAACTGTTGGTGCCTATTGTTGCTCAATGAGCAGAAACTATCTATGAATACCCCTCTTCCCATCTCTTGATGAGTCGTTAGACTCTATTGTGTGGGAGTTGTTGTTTTGATTAGATGCAGGAGGGTGTGACCTAGACTGAAACTGTTTGGGAATAAATCCCGATTCATGCTTCTCCGTCAGCTCCAACAGGGAGAGACACACATGCACGGACGGAGACATTTTGCCCTCATACTCCTCAGTCTCCTGGAGAGTGTTGCAAAGCAATTCCCCACCAGGACAACAGAGGGCGTAGCGCTGCTCTGTGGTATCCTGTCATGTATCCGGTCCAAGATAGTGTTTTTTGTATATAAGAGACTTTTTAACAGACAAATTTGTCTCTCATTCTCCTCCACCTCTTCATGTGCTCGCCACCTCTAAACCCACGTTTCCTGTCATTTCCGTCCACAACTAAAATGCTTGCTGCGCATCTTTTCACTCCTCCAGTCACGTGGAATTAAACGTTCATGTTTTTAGAGTATATTCGCGGGGTATTCTTCAAGCTTCTCCGTGTCTGCCGCTAGTTATTCTTGGCTCTCTATGTTTTTGAGAGCGCAATGGTGATGGTGTAGACGACAGCGGTGCCCTGACCAATCACAAGCTTGCGTTCTCCGTCTCGACGGACGGACGTTTAGAAAAGAGAGCTCGACTCCATACGACCATGCGGGGCTCTCCAGCAGGCCCGCAAGGACGGATAATGGCGTTGCGTGTCTCCGCACTGACGCAGACGCATGAATCAGGCTGGCTTTAGGCTATGGTCACACTGCAGCCCCCCCCCATGCGAGCCATATCTGATTTTTTATGACAGTCTGAGCGCACAGATCCAATGTTTTTTTAATGTGATCCGTGTCACTTGACTATGTAGTACTAATTCCGATACATATCCGATGTTTTTGAAAGCGACTGCAGTCTGAACAGTCATGTCGCATTAAATCTGTCTCCTACGTCACTGAATCAGTGGAGGTGAGCGTTGTGTGTGGATGTTCATGAGGAGAAGCTCTGGCAGAAGGGT